AAGAAATCAAAGGAAACCGAATGAAATCAAAGGAAACCGAAGGAAACCAAAGGATACCAAAGGAAACCAAAGGAAACCCAAGGAAACCAAAGGAAACCAAATGAAATCAAAGGAAACCGAAGGAAACCAAAGGATACCAAAGGAAACCGAAGGAAACCAAATGAAATCAAAGGAAGCCGAAGGAAACCAAAGGATACCAAAGGAAACCGAAGGAAACCAAAGGATACCAAAGGAAACCGAAGGAAACCAAAGGATACCAAATGAAATCAACGGAAACCAAAGGAAACCAAAGGAAACCGAATGAAATCAAAGGAAACCGAAGGAAACCAAAGGATACCAAAGGAAACCAAAGGAAACCCAAGGAAACCAAAGGAAACCAAATGAAATCAAAGGAAACCGAAGGAAACCAAAGGATACCAAAGGAAACCGAAGGAAACCAAATGAAATCAAAGGAAGCCGAAGGAAACCAAAGGATACCAAAGGAAACCGAAGGAAACCAAAGGATACCAAAGGAAACCGAAGGAAACCAAAGGATACCAAATGAAATCAACGGAAACCAAAGGAAACCAAAGGAAACCGAATGAAATCAAAGGAAACCGAAGGAAACCAAAGGATACCAAAGGAAACCAAAGGAAACCCAAGGAAACCAAAGGAAACCAAATGAAATCAAAGGAAACCGAAGGAAACCAAAGGATACCAAAGCAATAGGAATTCCCCTCTGGATGGGCATCAAAACTGTTCAGCAAAAGGCATTGGAATGATGTAGTTTCGTTTGCGGCTTGGAATTTGTAGCTGGAGTTCAATAGACCTTCCCCAAGACACCAGAGATATGGACATCGTGAGCCGGAAACATGAAGTTCCATATGCCCCAACTTTGTAATTTCCTTCTTGTCATGGGGTCCAGCAAAGGGGGATGTAACACTTATGATTTTGCAGTCTGCACTGGGAAGTTGGGCAGGAGTGGCTCCTCACCTCCGGCAACAGGAAGCCCGCCCCTCAGATTGGTGAGCGAGTGAGTGAATTGAATGGACAAGCCAACCAAACAAACTGAAATGACATGAATAAGATGAATGAAGTAATAAATGAAATGAACAAAAATAATGAAATGAATGACACGACGTGAAATGACATGAAGTGACATGACATGACATGAAATGACGTGAGTGAAATGAATGAGATAATGAGATGAAAACTCATCGAGTGAGTGTCTTTTAAGGAAGTCGGAGCTCAGCCACAACAAGATTCCAAAGAAGATCCTCCGAGCGATGTGCCGAGCCCAGCAATGGTAGCAGGAAGTAGGATGACATCATCTACAGCCCACATTGTAGGTAGGTTGGTAGGAAGTAGGCAGATAGCGGAAGGATAGCGGATAGAAGGAAACCCAAAGAAACCAAAGGATATCAAAGGAAAAATTAGATAACCGAAGAACAAATACAACTAAAACGATGGAGGTGTGGATGCTGCATTGCTGGACCATGCTGGACCATGTCTGATGTATGAGTTCCAGAGGCAAGAGGCCGACGCATCTCAAGGCGCACCGGGATGGATCCTGGAGAGTCATCGCTGGGTTTTTATGGAACATTTCCCACATGGTAACCATAGTAATATTATATCTGATATCATAGGTAATTAATTGAAAAACACTGAAAAACCATCCCCATATTCTTGCTGTTAAAGAGGTTTCTTACAACGGCGGTACCCCAATAGCTGGATGGTTGACAATGGAAAACCTGTTTGTTAAAAAACGTATGATGCAAGGGGGTGCCCTCATTTTAGGAAACTTTCAAAATTGGGAACAGATTCCATCTCCTGGTTTACGAACGCAATTTTCTGAAGTGGCCATGAATTGCGCAGTTATCACCTAGTTTTGGACAAGCCCAACATCCATCAACACCGCAGCTTGTTTGCTGCATCCCATAGTATCCTACCTTTATACGTTGGTTTAGGGATATCCATTCCCCTGTGAAACAGTGAAATTCTTTGGACAAATTCCTTGAGGTTTCCTACAATAGCGGTACCCCAAAAGCTCTATGGTTGAAAATGGAAAATCCCTATACTAAAAAACGGATAATGCAAGGGGTACAGTACCTCCCTTTTAGGGAACCTTCATTTGGACCAAAAAGGATGTTATAGAATGGTTTATTATCCCACTAACTATCCCATTCTATAGTGGATTTTCCAATGATCTTCCCATCAGCTGCTTGTTTTACAATTCCCCCCAAAAGTGTCATTTTTGTCATTATAGTTTGTCAATTGTTTATTATCCCATTAAAGCTACATGAAAGTTCCCTGTTGATACCCTTGGGTCATGGGATATACAATGGGATAGTAGATGATGCAATTATTTTCACAACATAGATAGTACCTCATGATATATCTCATTGGAGGTGGACATGATATATCTCATTGGAGGTGGATATTCCCATGATCTTCCCATGTTGGTATATACATAAATGCATGTGTATACACATATGCATATGTATACTGTATATATATATATTACATGCAGATGTATACATTCATGCATATGTATATATACAGTATATATATATATACATATGCGTGTACACATATGCATGTATATGGGGTGAAGTACAGTCGCGGCCTGAGGCATGGGACTTGACAACTTCCACCATGATCACCGCCATGGATCAGTTTATTTGATACAGCACGAGATTCGAAACTGATAAACCCAGCATCAAATACTGATATGAAAGTCAACAATATATACATATATAAACCCAATATAACTCCAACTAGACCGAATATCTATCCCCATGTTTTTTTGTTGGCGCAATATGTTGAGCCATTTGCCAGGAGACGACAAATGTCTCAAAAAGCGCTGTCGGCGATGGTCTCGATGAAAATCATCGGCTCCAGGGCACCTCAGCTATGGCAGAATGGAGATATAATTCCAATCTCAGTATGGTTTATATATGGTGCTTATGCATCTAATGTTTATAGATAACTTCGTTCTAATATGTTCAAATGATATATGATAAACCATATCTGTGTCATAAACCATAATGATACTTTATAACTTATAACTTTATGGTTTATGGAGATATTGTTGAGATACTTGAAACATCTTATAACTCTAGTTAATGTGTTTGGTTATGCAACTTCTAACTGGGGGCGCCGCATTGTATCATTGGTTAACTATAGATCATCAATCGACAATGATTGTTTTAACTTGTAGTCATTCTAGTTATGAAAAACCACAGGAGTGTAGTTTTAAGTATCATTGGTTATTGATGATTAGTATTAGCCAATTGTATTTGAGTACAAGTATTTAAATATTGGGGGTTACTGAAGGTTACCCATCTTAACTATTGGGGATTGGCTATGTTAGTATTTACATTCACGCGTTATTATCAGTTTTAAGTGAAGTGACATCATTACTTAACTTGTAAAATACTCTCATTATCTATCGTCTATCATTGGTTATTTGGCGTCACTAAAAGTATTTAACTGTTAAATTATTATTAGTACACTATTGGGTATTATAGAGAGTATAAACATTTTATCACTACAAGTGATAAGTAACTTTTACTATAGAGTTAACTATCATTGGGGGTTACTATCAGTTTCAACTTTTACGATCAGTTTTAACATGTCTTAACTTTCACTATAGAATGGAGTGCTGGGGGGCAGTGTCATCGTATCAGCCAATGATATTAGCTGATTAAATATTGCGCATATATGATAAATATATATAATCTTATATATCATTTATATATATATAACATTATATTTATAAATATATATATATATATCATATACATATATATATATGATATATATATAATATGATATTTATATATATACATATATATATGATATATTTATATATGATATATATATATCATATATGTATATGATATATATATATCATATATGTATATGATTTATATATATATATATATCATTATATATATATAGACATGACCAATTCATAGTGCAATTGCTTGTTGGCGAACAGTTGCTGCCGGTGAAAATCCCATGTCATGCCATGACTGGGCCATCAAGATTTCGCCAAAAATACATCATATGTGGCAAAGACTTGCGTAGCCTCCCAGTAATCAACCATGCTTTGCTGGAGAAACTTGCCATATATGGAGATAGGGGTACCCCCAAATCATCAAACTATTTGTTTAGGATTTTCCATGAAATAAACCATCCAACTATAGGGGGTACCCATATTTATGAAAACCCGTATAGTTCCATGGGATTTTTGCACTAAACCCTCCACTTAGTTGGGCGATTTCCCAGCCATCAGGTCAAGTGCTTGAGGTGAGGCGCGGGCGCCGCCAAATGGGCTGCCTAGGTGCCGGCAAAAAATGGTGAAATGAGAGTATTTCAAATTCGAAACCACATTGGCAAAATTGGTCTGTGGTGAAATATTGTGAAGCAGAGATGGGAAAGGCTCAAACTTTCTCCAAGACAGGTTGTTTGTTGCCAGAACTGACAACATGAGACAGCATGAGACAATGATTTTGATGTCAATGGCCTTGAACTTGAATTTTGGAAGTGTTTCGTGGCTAACGACCTGTGGTGGAGAAAGGACAGATGTACCGTTAATGAGACATTTTTACAGACGCTCGATTAACCGGTTTCACTTCTGCAAAAAAACACTGTGCTCAACTTCAGTCTTTCTCTGTTGTGGAGACTTCCTATGTCGTTGCTGAAATCCCTAGAAGTCGAACCACGGTTTTTAAAAAGGTCGTTGTGACAACCATCATTTCTTAGAAACCACCATTTCCCAATGAAAACTGCTGGAAAAACAATGAGAAAACAAGGAACCCAACCCCGAACCAAAAAAAAACATGCCAAAAGAAAATTAAAAATTGCCAACTGAATTCCGCGCCCATTTCATAATCCCAACTGAACTTCATATTTTTCAGAGGGGTAGGCTCAACCACCAACCTGATACCCTTATCAAATTACAGGTAATTTGATGCCATGACTGCAGAAACCCACCGGAGCTGAAAACTCTTTAGGCATCCAGATGAAGGATGCCGCCGCTTTCCCGGCGCCGGCGGCGGAAAACGGCGGCACGGTGCTGAAGCCTTTGCCCGAGCTGCACCGGACGCTGCTGGATGACAAAGCGAAGCGACAGGCGCGGGCTGCATAGGGGAGATTATCCTATAGAAATCATAGGAATTAATGTCAATATATGGATATATATGGCAATGTCAGTGGTTAGTTGGGTAAAACATGGAAAAATTGTGTGGTTCATTTGGAAATTTAGTGGTTCATGTGGATTTTTCGTTATTATCAGTGGTGAACTAGTGATCCAGTAAAGGATGATTGTCATCAGTGGACTATCATCAATCTAACTGAACTATCCTCTGGTTATGTCAACAGTTTGCTATTGGAAATTGTGATTTATAGTGGATTTACCCATTAATAGCATGGTGATTTTCCGTAGTTATGTGACAGTTTACCAGAGGGTATCATTTAGTCATGTGGAAATATGTGGAAATTATATCAAGGCTTCATGTCCAAGAGATGTGTTTTGAACACTCTATGGCGCTTTGCGCAGCCCAAAGTCCAACTCTATGGGTTACACATTTTTGTTGCATCAATTTTCGAGAATTTTAGAGACTAGGAGTGGGTTTGAATCATTCTTGGGACCATTAAATTGACATGAATTGACAATGTCAGCCCTTAATTGAGTTTCTACACTATATCAAGGGAGCCGGGAAACATTCCCAGTGCCGAGTTCGTGCCCTAGTGCCGTCGCTTCAGAGTTTGTCCCGGACCGTTGGTTGAACATTTGGACAAAGGAATCCCCTACAATAAAGCAATCTTCCTCCCAAGTATAACCAAGATATATACATTAGGGATTGCTTCAGGGATTGTTTCCATCATTAGGCCAAGTATGCCCAATTATGATCTAAGTTAAACTGGTCATGTTTAATGAGGGACCAATGGTTTGATTAAAAGAGGGCAGAAACAAATATCAGATACTAGACTTTGGACATTAGTTTTTTTTAGATATTGACATTAGGAAGATTAGATAGTAGATCCTAGAACTGAATCAAACATTCCCAACAAAAAAATGCCAGATCCAAAGCATGCTTTTTTGTTTTGCTACGTGGTCGATCATGTTTTTCCCCTTTTTCAATGGCAGTTTCCAAAGTGATTTGGGTTACCCCCAAATCATCCAAGTCATTAGTCCCTTTGAGTATTGAAACCCATGGTGACGACTGGGGGGCGAGAAAAAGAACCCCCCAAAACGTATGCTTGTGGGATTAAAAGGGAGGATCATCCCACGAAAACATCTGTGGTGAGTGGCACCAGGTGGTTTTTGTGGCACTTACGTATGTAATAGGAACCAAAAAAATCCATTTTCAGATTGACATAGCTAAATATCACGAGAAGTTGGATAGTGTATATCTCATATAATTGTATCCCCATCAAAAATTCCATTCCATTCCCAAAATGCACTGTGGATTTTACATGAAATCTGAAATAGCCGTTTCAAACAGGTTAAACAATCACCATTTTCAGTCACAGCCCCATATTTTTTCACAGCTTTCTCCTGACGATTTTGTATGCATCCAACATATCCAATTCTATCCCATCAAAAATGCCCAACAGCAATTAGTTGATTTTATACCAGTTTTCCTAAAGAGCACCTGTTAGTTACATCATGTTATATCACCATTCCACATTAAATTATCGTGGTCATCCACCGAAAACGTTTGTTTTTTTTTTTTCCGCTTGGTAAATGTCCCATGGCAAACGGAGATTTGTTTCACATCACTAAAACTGTTGTATCTGTTGTATCTATTGGAGATGATAGGGTTTCTATATCCCCAATAAAACTGTCGTATCTATTGGAGATCTGTTGGGTTTGTATAGTTTGTATATCCCCAGTTGGGTACATGGCCCTGATATACCGTGATGTTTGGATTCCCATCGGATGACGTCATGGGCCATTCGTAGCCATTCACCAAGTCCAAAGTCCTCGACACGGACATCTATGCTGATGCAACAAATATATGACAAAAACATAGATCCCATTATGTATATCGTTGTAATATTGTATAACTATATATTTACATATATATATACTATAATTATGTATGTATATATATATTATACAATTATATACATGTATTATTCCATGATTCTCCGAAGATCTCCTCAGGTGCATTACCGTCATGCCGCCCTCATGAATTGGGCGCTGCTGACGGTGAGCGCCGGCACGGTGCTGATGCTGTTGCTCTGGGGCACCAGGCAACGTGACACCAAAAATGTGGAGATTTCACCGAAAAAAACAATGGTTTTTTGTGGTTAAAACCATGCCATGAACCATAGTTGATTAATGGGATTACCCTCTGGTAATTTAACATAACTATGGAAAATCACCATTTTTGATGGGAAAATCCACTATTTCTATGGTCATTTTCAATAGCTATGTTAAATTACCAGAGGGTATTTTTTGGGATCAATGCCATGTTTACCACCCATGACTTCCTGGGAATGGGATTGTGACCATAGCACCGTTTTTTCCAATGGTGATGACTCGGGGATGCTGGGTTTATGACATTGTTTTACCCACATTAGACTGATGAAAACCCTTTGTCCAACAGCGGTTCCGGGAACCGGAACCCTTCCAGGAACCCATACCTGGCATCAGGCACCACACCAATGGGAACTTCAAAACGCCCACGGGAACCAAAAAACAAAGCTTCCAAAAAAAACACGGAAGGGAAACCGAAAACACCTTTCTTGGGATTTCTCTCATGTTTCACCCCTGTTCCCAAGCACAACCGCCTTGGAAAGTGCAGCCGTCTCCGAGGGTTGCCGTGCGTGGCTTCTGTGCCGCCGGGGCTCCTGGTTGGGTGTGGATTATCCGTATCTATCACCACAGGGATTATCATAGTAGAATCACGTAGAATATACAATGCAATATAATGGAATAATTGTCGGCGGATTCTTCAATATTCTCTATATATGTATGTTTATCATTGTTTATCGATATAACAAGTGAGTGTATTTGTGAGGTAAGTATCACAGCTTGGTCTAGCTCCTGAATCCCGCGGGAGGCGCTGCGTATTTCATTGTGGAACCTTTGAATTATCGGCTTTGTTTATTACATGAATTATATTTAACTAAGTTTACAATGGTATATATATACATATTATACAGGTACAAACCATGGAAAATATCATCATAGAATGATTAATGGTTGATTCTACTACAATCTCCTCAGCGAACAGTTTGAACCCGAGATATGCCGACTTTTTGAGGAAAGTAGTCTCCCAACCTTCTTTTGGCAGGGTTTGGATTAGTTGGGGGCATTAAGTGTACACACACATGTATATATACATACATACATTACATTACATTACATGACATGACATGACATGACATGACATGACATGACATTTACAACGCAATAACTTGCGTTGTTTCAAGCTTGAGAACTAGATCTAGATTTAAGAACTGCAGATTCAATTGTCGTGTGGTAAACCCAAAAGTAAACCAAACCTTTGTGGATGGTTTTTGACCACGAATTTCAGGCAAAATTGGGGATGGTTTATGGTTTGCACGATTCTCAAATTATTGGGAAAGACAATTCGTTTCTTGGCAAAATTTAGAATTCATATTTCCAGACGATTCCTTTGCTAGTTTGGGATTTAGTGAATCCAACTGACTCATAATTATCTTCCATTTATCCAGCATGTTTCCCGCTTTAAGTCCTCATACCTGGTAGAGCCGTCAAACTAAGCATCTTAAACCACTGACTACATAGATTCATTCCAGATGAAAACCATAGATTCTATGCTAAACCACAATAACCAGCTCAAAATCCCCATAAACATCCCATGAAACCACCATAAAATCCCCATGAAACCGCCAGCATTGCCATTCGAAACACGGCCGTGATGGCGTCCAGGTGGAGGCTGCGGCGACGTCCGAAGAGCGGCCCTATCGTCGCCTGGTGGAGCGATGCGCATCGTCGATGGGATAGACATATAATGGTAAATATCCCACTATTTAATGGTAATATGGTAAATAATAATAATGATAATAATAATAATGATAGTTATGGTTTTATTATCAGAGGGGTAGGCTCAACCACCAACCAGATATAATATGATTATATATGATTTATGATTATCAGTTATCATCAATTATCATCAATGATAGAATTATCCATTGATAAATGGGATAGTCTGGATAGTTGATATGATAGTGGGAATTTATCCATTGATACATGGGATAATGGGATAAATGATAGTATGGATTCATTTATCAACTATCATTGGATAGTATACTATATTGATCATTGGATGAACTTAGATAATCCCTGTTATTTTGATTATAGATTATTACTATCATTATCCCAATTATCATTGATAGTGGGTGGTTATCATTAAAATCCCAATTATACATATTATACATATTATGATATCATGAAATTGGATAATCCCTTTGATTGATTTATAATAAGTGATGAACTGCATTGATTTGCCATATATCTCACGATGATTTTGCCATTCCACTAGATACGGGATAATCGCACTATTATCCTTTTCGGTGGGAATTTATTATTGATAAGTGATGATTTATCCCAAAACCAGTTATGATTCCCAATAACGATATCTATTAAGATGGGATTAGAGGATGGGATTTGTTCTAGAATCAATCAGATTATGAAGATGGTATATAGAATATATATTAAGATAGGTACAGCATATTATACAATTATATCCTCAATTGTAGACAAACGATTTTTTTTTTTAAAAAAATAATTTGAGCATAGGATTCTGAATAGGATTATTTATGCAATTATACGGTGAATCCTATTTATAATCGACTGTAAGATAAGTCAATGGTTATTTATAATAGATATCGGGATATCTTACAATATCTGTAAATAATCTATTGTAGAATTGATCATTATCTGTGGATATCTAGAAATAGACTATTCATAGATCCAAGTTGTATTTTAAATAAATGATTTGCAGACAACATATTTTATAAACGATCTATGTATTGACAACTATATAATGATCATTTCCAAAATATCATTATCTATAATTACATAGGATTGTCCAAACAATTCCATAGTTGTATTGAAAAAAACAATGAGGATAATGATATAGTCGAATTCTAAAAATGGTGACAAACCGGTATTATATACAGCTAAACAACAATGGGTAGTAGTGGGTATATAATGGGATATATAATAGGATTTGATCATCAACAATGACTTTGCTTTTCGTTGTTGTTTTTTGACTGTGTGGGGAAGTTCAATGTCTTTTTGGCATTATTTACATACGCATGATTTTATGATGTTTTATGGACACATTTTTTCGAATCATTCATTTGTCCAGATTCCAAGTGTACAACAAGGTTCTGGACTCTGCTTAAGTGAAAGTGGTCAAGTTGTGGAAAACGGCGGTTCCTCAAAGGAACGGGGAAACAAATGTTGCCACTGAAATTGGTAGGACATTGGTAAGACATTGTGAATCTGGTGCCCTTACCAAACAATGAAAACAACTTTTACTGGTTGGTGGTTTGGAACATTTTTATTTTCCCATATATTGGGAATACTAATCCCAACTGACTTTCATATTTTTCAGAGGGGTTGAAACCACCAACCAGTTTAGAATTCAACACAATTTCTACCAGGAAACGTGGACATCCGAAGACTGTGAAGCAAAGAAACTGATCCAGTTGGATATCCAGTTGGTCTAGGTCCCTCAACTGGTGACAGGCAAAACGACCCGTGGTTTTGGTTGGAAGCAGAAAAACGATTCATCTTCAAAATGTTCTGAATGTGTTTTTGGTGTCCTCTCTATCCAACCAGATCCAACCAGACTATCCACAGCTTTTTCAGACTTTTTTAAAAGCACGCATCACTCGAATCAACCTGGATTTCACCGCCATTTTTAAATTACAAAGCAGATTTTCTGTTGGTTTAGATCGCTCCACATGAATTTGGATCCACATTTCTGGTTTAGATCGGTTTTTTTTTGGGAGTTCCATCCCATTGTTTCCCCAAATTTTCACCAGATTTTTCATGGTTAAGTCACTGAAGTCCAATTTCAAGCGCCAGAAATCACAAAAATCATCACCATCAAATCGTCCCATAATTATATATAATTATAGTATGTAAACCTTATATATATATATTGTTCCATATTAAAGCCTCAGTTATTTCCATTTCTATCCCACTTCAAATCATTAACCCACCAGTTTTTTCCATGTAAAATCCCACTTAAAATCCCACTGAAAATCCAGCATTTCACCATGTAAACTGCCAGCATGTCGTGGATCTGAGGTCACAGCGAAGTCCAGGGCCTGTTGCTTCCATCCCAGGCACAGGTCACAGCGGGGGCATGGACCGGTCCGGGTCCGCAGGCGCAGCAGGCGCGGTGGAGAGGTGAAGAGGTGAGAACTTCGGAGTTAGTGCTATTTTATAATGATTTCATGGGATTTTATAATGATTTCATGGGATTTTATAATGATGTCATGGGATTTTATAATGATTTCATGGGATTTTAGAGTGATTATCATGGGATTTTATAATGATTTCATGGGATTTTAGAGTGATTATCATGGGATTTTATAATGATTTCATGGGATTTTAGAGTGATTATCATGGGATTTTAAGACATTGGGATTTTTCAGGTGATTTTTCATGGAGATTTTTTTCTCACCCAACCGGGGATGGGAAACCTGGTGAAGTCACCAACTTTACGCGGCCTCGTGACGCCTCGCGCGGCCTCGTCACACGAGGCGCTCGAGTTGCGCCCGGCACTTGGAGATGGGGAGATCTGGGAAACCATTGCCACTGTGGGGATATTAACCAAGATCTCCCCAGACAATGTCATGTTTACCCTCTGGTAAACTAACGTAACTATGGAAAATCACCATTTTTAATGGGAAAATCCATTCATTAACCAGATAAATTAACCAGATAAATTAACCATTAAATTAACATTATATTAACCCAGATACTCAGATAATCCATGATAATGTTGATTTAATGTTAATTTAACCATTCATTAACATGTTAATTAACCCATTGTTTCATCCATTGTAAACATGACATGGTTAAATCCCCACAATGGGGATTTAACCAAGTGGATATGTTTTTTTTAACCAAGATGGACAAGTTGGAAATTTCACACTTACCCTCTGGTAATTTGTTACATAGCGGACTGGAAAATGGCCATAGAAATAGTTGATTTTCCCATGAAAGCTATGGCCATTTTTCAATAGCTATGTAACAAATTACCACAGGGTAAACATGACATTGTTTTACCCACAATGGGGATTTAACATGAACCAAGAAGTGGATATGAATGAACATATATAAACTGAGTAAACCGAGTGGAATGGCTACTCTTGGGGTCAAGTTTTTGTTTTGCCATACACAGTGATATTTGTTTTCCTAATCAGCTAAACGTTCTTATGTTTTTTGAGGTATCGAAGATTAAAACCCATGACCAAACGTGAAATGGACATCTACTATCCATCCATCTTCTGGGTGCTATCTACCAGCGATAAATGAGAGCATCATGGGAATAAACGAGTTAGTGAATTGGTTAGATCCCAATAAACATGGCAGGTTTAATAGGGAACACGACCAATCGCTGGTCAAGCATGGCATTTCTCATCCTTGAAGGTCTCTGAGCAGTCACCCACAATGACCATTCGCACCCCTAACTTCACAGATCCCATCAGTTTCCGTGGTTAATGGTATGAAATGGAGGCTATTAGCACCATTTGAGAAGATATTTTCGGAAACATCCAAATATCATATATATCAAGATATACCAAGTTGGATAGTTATACTGTTATACAAAATATCCCATATGAAACATGCCCATGAAATGTTTGGTTCCATTTGACAACCACTCCAATTAAAGATATGGGGTTTTCCATAAATGGGTGTACCCCAGAATGGGTGGTTTATAATGGAAAATCCCAAGCAGAAATGGATGATGACTGGGGGTATCCCCATTTCAGGAAACCCCCAATATCTGGATCATATGGGAACCTTATCAAACGATGGGTTTGAGGAGGCGTTATGGGTCCTGTTGTTTCCTCAGGTCAGCCATAGGACGCCAAAAGCGGGAACGCGAGCGAAAATTCGTTTCACTGGGCACTTTAGACATCAAGGGGCCAGAAAATTCTTGTTCAATGTTTCGGTTGTGTCAACTCCCAAAAATTGCCATAATTCATAGGGAAAAGCCATGGTTTGATCATGGGATTTTGGGGTTTTCCCCTGAATTTTCAGAGAGCACCATATGTTTCCAGTGGTTTTTGACGATGGAAGCCACAAAGAGATCTGTTCGCGGAATGAGATCCTGAGCCCTCAATCTGACGGAAGTGCATCAAAACCCCCCAGAAGTGGTGGAGTTTTTTTTGATGCCGGTGCCGCCACGAAACAACAAGGCAGACGAGTCGGGTGATTGCCAAAGGGTAACATCTATGATTTGTGGTGTCCCCCCAGTTTTGTTTCTTGGTTTAGAAACCATACTCACTATATATCTACCATAAACCATAGTGAACCAAGTTGTATACTTGTTGTATGGTTTTTTTAAACCATCAAACATGGATGTTGCATGTGAATTTCTATCCGGGGGTCAGGAGTAGTAACTATGAGTAATCAGGGGTATCTATATTCCCCCCACCAAAACAACGGAATTGATATTGATATGTTAGTTTGCATACCGGAATGAATATTTGAACTGTGGAGGGCATTGTGCGCCTTTTCCCTCTTTCTTAAAGGAGGGCTCTTTATTTTTTATTTTTATTTTTTTTTCGCGGCAGGTTTTGGAATCTATTTTGGGTTCCTGGTTCTAAGCTTTCCTGTTTCTCTGATTTTCTGGTTTTCCTGTGGCCTCGCCGTGTCTATGGGGGAAGCTACAAAACCTCTCTTTTTCAAAGGTTTCCAAGCAGGTTGTCATGTCGTTTTGCGTGGCAGGCGTGGCACTTTGTGACATTCCAACCTGTTTTATACCGTGTCATAGGTTCTTTTGTAAGTAAGGGTGGGGCAGCAATGCGCTCCACACTCCACACTTCACACTCTACACCCCACCCTCCACCACACTCCACCACGCTCCACCACACTCTACACTTTCCACTCAACACTCCACAATTTACACTTTTGACTCCTCACTCCACACTTCACACTTCACACTTCACACTTTACACTCCTCACTCCACACTCTACACTCTACACTCCACATTTTGCATTTTACACTCCACAGTTCACACTTTACACTCCTCACTCAACACTCCGCACTCTACACTTTACACTCCACACTCTACACTTTCCACTCCACTCCACACTATACGCTTTACACTCCACACTCTACACTTTACATTTTTCACTCCTCACTCCACACTTTACATTTTACACTCCTCACTCCACACTTTACACTCCACACCCCACGCTTCCCACTTTAAACTCCACACTCTACACTTTACACTCCACACTTTACACTCCACACTCCGCACTCTAGACTTTACACTCTACACTCCACACTCTACACTTTCCACTCCACACTGCAGACTGGTAACAGGGGAAATATGTATATACAAGATTATACAAGACTGTTCAAATAAACTATTGCAGAAAAGTGTTCTGCGTGACTGCATATCCATTTGCTTCGACATCACCACCATTAACATACGTGTGAGCATTCGGGTTCGTGGGTTGCATTTTGTTTGTTTGGATCATATCGGCTAGGCCTGTGTTTTTTCCGTATTTTTTGTTACACAGGGAGGGAGTTGGACCAAGCATGTGGTGAAATGAGGAAGTGATTAAGGGAGCTTGTTTGAGGACATGTTTGTCTCAAGATCACCGGGTCCAAAATCTCATGTTTGATCTCGTGTTTGATTATCATCTCTATTCAATTGGTCATTCTTGGATATCCCCTATGTTTCGACACCCATGTCAGGCACGCGGCATGGGTCGGAATGTTTAAGACATTGCCATTTTTGTGTACAGAGAAGGGCATGGTTGGGTGTTTTTTGGTCACCATCGGCACCCATGTAGTTGGCATTGACATCGGGATGTAGCGAGATATGATTTTCTGATAATTTCTCCGGAGAAACGCAGCCAGAAAGGGGGCAAACTGAAGCGTGATTTGGATTTGGATCCCCATCAGATCGAAATAGCTGGTTGCTGACGTTCATCCTTGCAATTGTGTCATACGTTTGAAGCCATCCCAATTTATGAACCAGATAATTCATTGTAGAAAGTATGTTTGGTAACATGGGTGGGACAAACATTTGCAAATGGAAACCTAGAACTACTTGCATAACTTTATGCGTGTTCATGGCCCTCTTTTTTTGCCGCATATTATTTGGGTAGAAAGTCGTCATGTCTATTTGATGTTTGCAGGGAAAACACCATGCCCATGCCATTGATGTTTCTTATCGACGGTGCGTTCGTTGATGGCAAGAAACTCAGCAAACATAATATGTGGATTGTAGTTTGCAAATTACTTCATCAGAACTTTCTTGAGTTTTTTGAACTATCTAACTGCAGCTTGTTTGCATGTCAACCAATGCCGCGATGGAGGTGTGTTTTCTGTCAGGTGCGACTCTGGCAGCCCTTGCCCCGGATGAATTCGAAGGAAGGACTGCAAAGGCTGTGAAACAAGCCTTGGCAGTTCAGATCGGTGTCACCAGATTCAAACAACGACTCTTCTCCGAAGATGGTTCTGAGATCCCGGATGATGAGGTGTTTCCCTCCGCTCCAGTGAAGCTTCAGATGGTGATTCTGGATTTTTATCCAGCTGATGCCCAACGAAACCAACAAGTCATCTCTGCATCTATGGACAATGATTTGATCGCCCTGGAAAAGCTTCTTAATAGCCCTTCCAATCCGAATGTCACAGACGAACATGACAACACGCCATTGCACAATGCTGCCAGGCGAGGACACGTTGAAAGCATGCTGCTTTTGCTTGAGGCAGGTGCTGAAAAAGACCCACAAGGAAATCAAAGGATGACGCCATTGCATTTGGCAGCTATGCATGGCCACTTTGATGCTGTCCGCCATTTGGTGGAAGTTGGTGCTGACAAAGAGCAAGCAGAGAATAGAGGTGCAACACCATTGTACGTTGCAGCTATGCATGGCCATCTTGATGTTGTCCGTCATTTGGTGGAAGTTGGTGCTGACAAAGATCAAGCAGAGAATAGGGGTGGAACACCATTGTACGTTGCAGCTATGATCGGCCACCTTGATGTTGTCCGTCATTTGGTGGAAGTTGGTGCTGACAAAGATCAAGCACGCAATAGCGGTGCAACACCATTGTACGTTGCAGCTGATCAAGGCCACCTTGATGTTGTCCGTCATTTGGTGGAAGTTGGTGCTGACAAAGATCAAGCAGAGAATAGCGGTGCAACACCATTGTACGTTGCAGCTGAGAACGGCCACCTTGATGTTGTCCGTCATTTGGTGGAAGTTGGTGCTGACAAAGATCAAGCACGCAATAGCGGTGCAACACCATTGTACGTTGCAGCTGAGAACGGCCACCTTGATGTTGTCCGTCATTTGGTGGAAGTTGGTGCTGACAAAGATCAAGCAGAGAATAGCGGTGCAACACCATTGTACGTTGCAGCTGATCAAGGCCACCTTGATGTTGTCCGTCATTTGGTGGAAGTTGGTGCTGACAAAGATCAAGCACGCAAAAGCGGTGCAACACCATTGTACGTTGCAGCTGAGAATGGCCACCTTGATGTTGTCCGTCATTTGGTGTAAGTTGGTGCTGACAAAGATCAAGCACGCAATAGCGGTGCAACACCATTGTACGTTGCAGCTGATCAAGGCCACCTTGATGTTGTCCGTCATTTGGTGGAAGTTGGTGCTGACAAAGATCAAGCAGAGAATAGCGGTGAAACACCATTGTACGTTGCAGCTGAGAACGGCCATCTTGATGTTGTCCGTCATTTGGTGGAAGTTGGTGCTGACAAAGATCGAGCACAGAATCAGGGTGCAACACCATTATACATTGCAGCTGAGATAGGCCACCTTGATGTTGTCCGTCATTTGGTGGAAGTTGGTGCTGACAAAGATCGAGCACAGAATCAGGGTGCAACACCATTATACATTGCAGCTGAGATAGGCCACCTTGATGTTGTCCGTCATTTGGTGGAAGTTGGTGCTGACAAAGATCGAGCACAGAATCAGGGTGCAACACCATTATACATTGCAGCTGAGATAGGCCACCTTGATGTTGTCCGTCATTTGGTGGAAGTTGGTGCTGACAAAGATCAAGCAGAGAATAGCGGTGCAACACCATTGTACGTTGCAGCTGATCAAGGCCACCTTGATGTTGTCCGTCATTTGGTGGAAGTTGGTGCTGACAAAGATCAAGCACGCAATAGCGGTGCAACACCATTGTACGTTGCAGCTATGATCGGCCACCTTGATGTTGTCCGTCATTTGGTGGAAGTTGGTGCTGACAAAGATCGAGCAGAGAATAGCGGTGCAACACCATTGTACGTTGCAGCTGATCAAGGCCACCTTGATGTTGTCCGTCATTTGGTGGAAGTTGGTGCTGACAAAGATCAAGCACGCAATAGCGGTGCAACACCATTGTACGTTGCAGCTGAGAACGGCCACCTTGATGTTGTCCGTCATTTGGTGGAAGTTGGTGCTGACAAAGAACAAGCAGAGAATAGCGGTGCAACACCATTGTACGCTGCAGCTTATGGCGGCCATCTTGATGTTGTCCGTCATTTGGTGGAAGTTGGTGCTGACAAAGATCGAGCACAGAATCAGGGTGCAACACCATTATACATTGCAGCTGAGAACGGCCACCTTGATGTTGTCCGTCATTTGGTGGAAGTTGGTGCTGACAAAGGTCGAACAGAGAATCAGTGTGCAAGACCATTGAACATTGCAGCTCTTATCTTGATGTTGTCCGCTATTTTGTGGAAGTTGGTGCTGACAAAGATCGAGTAGAGAATACCGGTGCAAAACCATTGTACATTGCCGCTTGCAAGGGCCATCTTGATGTTTTCCGTCATTTGGTGGAAGTTGGTGCTGACAAAGATCAAGCAAAGAATAGCGGTGCAACACCATTGTCCGTTGAAGCTCAAAATGGCCATCTTGATGGTTTCCGCCAGTAACAGGTTTCTAGGGGTTTGCCTAGGACGATCTCACGTTCATGCCCCGTTTTTCCTGTTGCAGGTTGGCATCGGTTGTTTTTTCAGTTGTAGGCAGGCATCGCTTGCACTGTTAATTTCAAGTAGCTATGTGTTCATCATCGAGAAACACCTATGCTCCATGTTTACAATATTTTACAATGACAGACGGGTCCTTGTACACAATTGATAGCCGACCGTCATATACTCATGCAACATGATATAACACTACGTGGGTATGCATCCCAGTTGCTACGTCGGCAATAACCCTTGGATGCACATCCAAGATATGTAGGTAGATTTGCACCCCGGTTGATATGTGGTTCACCTCGATTAGCTCACCCATGTTTACCCATTTGTTTATGGGATGTTGACCCATATGTTTTCAACCAATCAGGATTTTAGGCATTCGAGCGCCTGGAGGGTACAGCTCTGGGTGGTCAGGTGTGAAACCAATGGCGAACTAACACTTGGATTCTAGCTTCCAGAAGTTGCGAGAGTTTACCCCAACTATGGTGAAACATATCCACTTGTAACCCTTGGCCTGCCCCTCCAAATATCAACTGTCTTTTTGTTTTCCCTCCCATCTCATATCTCTCATGGTGATTTGCTCGTCCCTATTTGTTTTCCATCCCAGAACTGCGGGCATCCCCTAGATAAGGTGGTTGTTGGTGGTTAAGACGCCCTTAATAAACCTCTATTTTTGGCAGGGTCAGCTTTACCGTGATATTGCTTTCCATGATTTTGCTGTAACCTACATAGCATATAGCCATTGTTCGTAATTCTTAGCAAACATCAAACATGACTATCATTACCGTGGAAGAATTTCAACGAATTCTTCCACTATATCCCCATACACTTCTTGCTCATCAGCCTTATATCCACATGTTTCCAGATTATGGTTGGTTGAATCTGTTGGACAAATCTAGTATATATCTTCCCGTCGTATCCCTGTTTTACCCAACATATTGATGGTGAAACCCTATCAAGCCATATATGGAACCCGACTGTCTTACTATCCCATTAAAGCGATGCTAAGCTTATATTACAATTATACTTACCATTATATGTGCCACTATATCACCATTTCCGTACCACTAAACTAAAATCACTATTAAGCATTGTTATACTCCATGTCCATCCATTTCCACTAAACATTTATCATCCTTGGGTATACCATGATTCACCATCCAGGATAGTTCATGATTTCATGTCACATCTGTCATCATGATTTCACCATGACATAATCACATAATACCAGCGCCGATTCATTGAATCACCCTCCAGTCATCAACCATGGCTTGCTGGACAAGATTCCATTTAGGAACCAAGGATTTCCCAGCTACAAAGATGTTTGACTACGAAGGGTAGATCCCATGAAAATATCTCATTAAATCATTCTAAAATCCTAGGAGCTCCCATTTGCTCGACCTTTTTTTCATGTTTGGGAAGGGTACAATGGAAGCTGTTGTTGACTCGGCTGGTACCTCACAGGTGAATCGGCTGGTGGGGCACCCTCTGTGTTATCTTTGCGTGTATCGGGGGTCACCATTGGATGGCACATGCAAAAGCTATGCAATATGCAAAATGAGTGGCAGGAAAATGCTCAATACATCTCAATACGACCCCTCAAAGGAACAGCACAGTGAACCATCGTTGCACCACTGGCTCCATCTGTCCATAGCTGGCGATAAAAAGCACAAAAAACCATGGGTGACCAACCATGCACAAAGGCTGATTAAGAAATGCTGAGAATTCCCGACATGTTGGGAAAATATGTCATAGCAAAATCCTCAAGAATTGATTCGTTTGGCGCAAGAAATACGGGACACTTCGAACAGTTTCTGCAGATCCCAGAGGCCGTTAAACCAGCTCTATTTTCCAACACCGGCCAGAAGATCATTGGCTAAATTGGGTATAAGACTTTGCATCCCCAAAGCACACATCAAGTTAACATAGTTACATATATTTATATTAGTGATAGAATTAAGCTCAGCCAATATATTTCCAACAGTTTGAGCCAAGTTGATTAACCAATTTCCCAAGTTTTAAAAAGATCATTTTCTTCGCGCCTTCGGGGGTTAAGCGACCGCCTCCCCTACGGCCAAAAATAAGCTATGGCGAATGGTGCCATTCCATCGCGCAGCACAGCGGAGGCGACGCTGCGTTGTTTCACCAGCTAAGAATGGGACATGTGTTTATAGTTAAGGAGAAAATGGGCGTTCAAACACTCAAACTTGGGACTTAATGTAAAGCATCACAAAAGTGTTATTTTGGATTACACATCTTAGTGTTTGAATTTATACTATTTTCAGTCAGCAGGAAATAAAAGCATTCAGGATGAATGTTCCTGTAATGTGGCCAACAATCTGGCTGTACAGTCAGACCAAGTGAGAGTAAACCATTGTTGACCAATTAGTGGTAAGCATAAACACATATGTAATAAATTAATAACATCTTAATTGTATCCCCGGATTATGTATTCAACCATGGTTGACTAACTACCTCAAATAATCATTATATATATTTGCTCAAAATGGTACCCCCAATTAAACAACAGCGGGGTCTATGAATCCAGAGGTGACGACTCCAGAATTTTGTAGGTCGTCAATGCCTCCATCAGGGGATGAGTGGGCTATTGTGGTCAAACTCTCAGAATTTTCACCATCCCCATCCCCAAGAGAGGTATTATAGGGATATATTTAGAGGGAAACCATAATAAACCCTATAATCCCCCATTTTTGTTTAACCACATTTACACCAAAAAGAGGATATGATAGGGATATATTTACTATATTTACCCTATACATACATTATTACATAGGGATATTACATAAGTTTTACCACATTTTTTCCCCTATGTATCCCACTGTTGGTCGACCCAATGGCAGGATTAGAGAATCCCTGCTCTTGTTATGGTGAATCCCCATGTTATCATCATTGTATTTTGAAGAGTTGCATGATTTATATATTTACAATTCATTTACGATATATTTCCCTGCAAATGATCATGATTCCATCATAATACCACAAAATCATCATTTCAGAATCACAATCCCACAATAATCCCACTGTATTCCCAGTGTATTCCCAATATCTCCCTATTCCCCAGCCGTGTTGCTATCCCAGCCGGAACGATCAAAAAACGCCAGCCAGGCCCGAAAGAGACATCGAGGGCAGCTAGTGCAATGGGATGCCTCCAGCAAGACAGGGCGCGCCAAGGATTTTTTTTGTCCATAGGGATTTGATGGGAAGAATCCAGTGGGAATACAATATTGTCTGAATCATCAATTGGTAGAGTCATCTATAATTCTATGGATTATGGATTATGGAATTTTATGATTGGGATTATGAAATATTATGAACCATAGTTGAATTTAATAATGAATTATCACTAATTATAATTATGATTGGGAATATGGATTTTTATATGAACCATAAGTGAATAATCTATAATTATGATTGGGGAATATCCATAGAATATCCCCACATTGGGAAACCTATGACTATCTATGAATCACATCCATATTGGGGATATGATTGATATGAAAACATAGGTTTGTCTGACGATTTAAACCGGAAGACCCTCAAGTTTGACGGATTGAAACCTCACTGTTTCTCCATTTTTTACTGGCCATTTGAGGCAGATCTGGATGGATTTGATCAGGACCAAAGAACGTCACTTTAGTGGTTTGATCTTACCCTCTGGTTATTTAACATAGCCATGGAAAATGGCCCATTTATAGATGATTTTCCCATTAAAACCTCCATTTATGAGGGATTTTCCATGGCTATGTTAAATAACAAGATGGTAAATTCAAAGGAGTTTTTCATTTTTCGGGGAGCGGAAAGGTTGGTGGAAAAGCAGTCAGGTTTCGGTCCATGAACACAGCGGTCAAGGTACCAGGAGTGCCAGATGATCCTACACATCTACTGGATATGGATCAAATGTGATCTGAATCATCCAACATTGGGAGTTTAAGCGCCAAGAATGGGGAGATAGTTGATATGATAAAATCCACGAATTACAGGATTCCGGGATGGATCAAAACCTATGAGTTACCACATGTTGTGGATTTTCCATCATAAATCGCAACATTTTCGTGTGGGCTTTTTGAGTTCCATTAACGGCGCCAGCCATGCCATAATCCAACCCACGAAACGATGATCTCCAACGGGCCATGGGGCCATTTTTTGGTGGGGCCCCATTACCCCAGCTTTGGGCCATGGCTATCCACATGATTCACAGATCAAAATGGCATCAAGTCGGAGGGTTGTCCCACTTAGCTGGAAGGCAAGTATGATTTTTGCATGTCTTAGCTGTGGTATCTTCTTCATATACATCCCGGCGGAAGGGAAACCGCGCGAGCGTTTTGATTGGTTGCTTCCAGGAGAGTCACAATCACCTGTAATTTACAATATAAAATGCTCTTCCGATCAGTTTGGATAACTGAATTTGGGTTAAAAAAAGTGGATGCAAAATCTATTGATTTTTAACAAATCCAGGTAAACATCATGTGCATCAGACGTGGATGCGCAGATTTTTTTTCACACTCTTCGTCGGCTCAGCGATCCATCAGTGTGGAAGCTGTCTTCGACAGCAAGTTGCCATTATGGCACTCATAACGCCACTGCCAGCAACGCAGGTATAGCATGACATCTTTGTTCTGCCCTGCCTTTGTCTGCAAATTGCTAGGCACAATTTTTTTAGCCAAATTCCACAGAGAGTCAATCTTCCCAGCAGCAGCAAGGATCTTAGCAGCGTAGCAACATGTAACGTAGTAAACAATCCCAGAGATCTCAGCAGCGTAGCAACATGTCACGTAGTAAACGATCCCAAGGATCTCAGCAGCGTAGCAACCTGTAACGTAGTAAAAGATCCCAGAGATCTCAGCAGCGTAGCAACATGTCACGTAGTAAACGATCCCAAGGATCTCAGCAGCGTAGCAACATGTCACGTAGTAAACGATCCCAAGGATCTCAGCAGCGTAGCGACCTGTAACGTAGGAAACTATCTCAGAGATACCAGCAGCGTAGCAACATGTAACGTAGTAAAAGATCCCAGAGATCTTAGCAACATCGCAATATATCCTGTACGAAGTTTGAGGAACGTTAACATGCCCCCCCACCCCACCCCATCCCAACCCCAACCCACACTAACATGGCAATATATCCTGTACGAAGTACGAGGAACGTTAACATGCCCCCCCACCCCACCCCACCCCGACCCCAACCCACACTAGAGATCTCAGCAGCGTAGCAACACGTAACGTAGTAAAAGATCCCAGAGATCTTAGCAACATGGCAATATATCATGTACGAAGTACAAGGAACGTTAACATGCCCCCCCACCCCACCCCAACCCCAAGACAAAGAGCAATACTCAAAAAAGAAGCAAAACGCACGTACGGTTTTCCTGCCGTAGGCATATACATATTATATATAGTCCCCAAAAAGATAGAAATTGGTAAATTCCTACCAAAATAGTGACATTTTACTTGTCAATCTTTTTGGGGATCGCTATCCGATATATCCGAAAAGTGGGATGGCCTTCCACTCGGAAAACGATGCCGTATGAACTAATCAAGCCGTTGGAAGAAACCGTTTGCTTATATACTTTCGTTCTGGATGAATTTGGATTCGCATTTTCCATAGAACCAAAGGTTTGTTCCAAGTTTTTCTGTTTGATGAGTTCATAATCCCAATTAAACCATTTAGCTGCTGAGTTTGATCAGTGATTTCCCAAGCATATCGCACTGTAAACACTGTAAACCCTTTAAGCCCCATCAATACCAAGTATCAGTGCAATGGTTGGTTCTATATCCCATTGGTTTTCTATTTTCCTGTATACATCCATTAAAACTAATCTAAACATCTCTAAACCCCATTCGGTGTGACCTTTATTGTGATATCGGTCTTTTGTGGCGCATACATTAGTGTTTGTTCTTTGACTTCAAGCGCCCATTGTCAACACCTCCTTCAAATTTATGGAAGGTGGGGCCCCCAACATTGCTAAGTTGCCTTACAAGTGGCTTAACTCACTATGGTTTATGGTAGATATAACATGATATAACTAACTATATAGTTAATGGTTTTAATAGGGTTTAATTATAAACCAACTTATAACTGGGGGGCACCACATAGTGTGGAGGTATGTTCAATTGGAAAAGCCTTACCTCGACGTGGACGTGGCCGAACTCTGGGCCCATGACGTCGCGGGGTCTGCTGGTCCAGGTTTATGGCGATAGGTTTGTCTGGGGAACTAACATGAAATAACTTAACTTTGGGATGTGTATATATATATAGTGGGGATATCATGGGGACATTGTGGGAAATGGGGATAACTAGCCACCCCAATGCCAACTGATATGGAGATAATGGGATTTACTGTATAACTAGCCAGCTAAACATTATTCTTCCTATCTTTGATCAGAGTTGTTTCGACCTTAAAGTTGGCTAAAGAATCGCCAACTTTGGATTCATTAATTCGATACTTGTTCAATCGAACAAGTTCACAGAATCTTCAAAGTGTTTGAATCCACCGAGACTGCAAGACTCCCAGGCTCGTGTTTCTTGAGATCTGCACTAGTGTCAGAAAGAAGAATATGTTTGTTGTTGTTGTTGTTGTTGTTGTTGCTGTTGTTGTTGTTGTTGCCGTTGTCGTCTGAAATCATCTGTCTGAAATCACAATTTTACTTGGCTACAAATTGTGTTCTTGTTGTTAAAAATCCAAGTTTTCTTCGTTGGCTATGTGCGAATGGGTCAAACCCTTGTAGCCTGGTGAACGCTAAAATAGTTGGTAAATTAAAATTTGTCCCCTCATTCTGGTATCACAAACTTTGATCTATCCCCAATTTCTCGAACAAAGTCGGAAGTCATCACATGAATCGTCGCAAATCTCCAAATGTCAGGTCTTTTTGTCATGTGGAGGTATTGACCCATCTCCAGCTTCATATCGGTGAAACCCCGAAGGCGTTCGTGTATTAATACCACTTGTATCAGCTTAATCCAAGGGGCAAGGCTTGGGGTCAATGGGGATCAATTCACAAAGCTTGACGCCAAGAAACATGGAATTGCTAAATATGATTTACTGAGTTTACCATTCGAAACCAGCTTAAAGCACCATTTTTTTTTACAATTGTTTGCCACAAAAACATAGAAACAAACAAAAACACATTTTAGCCCTAAACAATATAGAAAAAAACAACAAAAAAGACATAAAAACACATTGATGGTCGGTTTTGCACCCCCCCCCATCTTATGCCATTCGCGAGGACCTACGGAAGTACCGCACCAAGCTGGAGGAAGGCAGGGCCTTTCCGTGGCAGGTTTGCAGGGGCCGGTTGAATATGTTGGAATGGGGAAAACACGCACAGATACGTATGTAACGTATGTATATAATTATATATATACATGATATATGTAATATTATATAATTATATTATATTTATACATATATAGTCAATATATATATATATCGTCAATATAGTCGAGCAGTATTCAAAATCCCTGTTGATTGATGATTTTTGAACTCCTATTAAGCAGCATGCTAGTCATACAGTGACATACAGTATGCTGAGATAATGTAAAATACGTTTTTTTTGTGTTATTTTGAGAGAATGGATATGAATATAGGTAGATATCTGCTATACATGACTAGATTTATTTGATGGAAAAAAAGCATCGGGGGTTCTATCTTGATCCACATATAACACATATATATATATATGCATATATCGAATATATCTAAATGAGGAGCTCACCAAGACGATGACTTAGAAACAGCAAGGATAGGCATGCTGAAATATTTTTCGTGGTATTTCAACAACAAAGAAACTGCGGGTACTTATATTACTACCATTTCAAGAGTACAGTACCCTCTCGTTTTTCAACAACAATTTCTTGGGCAATCTATGATCCAAGAAAAGTTTGGTTCAGCATCAGAAGACTGGACTGGAAGTGGACAAATGAATTTTGTTTCCATGTCTGCCTAATCTTATGTTCCTTATGTTCATTGTTAAATGGAAAAGAATTATCATTATCTTGACCGGATATTGTTGTCGCTTACCACTCCTGTTGTTTTTTCAAGGTCGCATCCTGGTTTCTGGTGCATGGCCAAGTTTTGTTCGCGATATTTGGATCGGAAATTGGAGTGGATTCACCGATGTTTGGATTCCCATTGTGGGATGGATAACCATACCACATTCATCACAAACTTGACGATATCACATAGAATTCCTCTCAAAACCTCTGGTATCTTTTTCGTTCGACTAAGAATATCTTCCACGTTTGGTGGTCAGCCGCTCCAATTCGGGTTTGCGAAGTTTGTTCATCACCTATCCCGTCATTCTGGTGGGTGAAATCATGTCGTGAAATCTCATGGTTGGTTTTAGATCCCCGCCACCCTTGCATAGTGTTGTTCGCAGACAGCAGGGAGCGAAAGAGGTTGACCTCTAATTGCAACTTGGATCAGCTCCGATCTAATCACTAGAATTCTTTGCATTCCAAAAAAATCCATGAATATATGAATGTCCCTGAGCATTGAAGAATACCTTCGTCGTAAAAGTCGGGTATACTGCCCAAGTGGCAATTTTCATAGGAAAACAGGAGGTTCGAAGCCATAGATGGGGATGATGTTGGGGTACTCTGTTTTCAGACCAACCAAAATAAGACTGTGAATCAAACAATCAAACATTTGTTCATTTATTTTCAGAGATTCTCTGGTTAAACCATGTCAAAACATGGTAAAACCATGGTATTTTTTCACCGGAACCAATGATGCCATCGTGTTCCTCGATTCCGCCCAGGGCAATATTTGAACTTTGTGATTGGTATTGAACCACAGGCGGGATCGAAGGATGTGGCCCAAAATTTCATGGCGAAGACATGGGAAACATCGCTGATGGAAGGCCATGGCGATTTCAAGCCATGCGGAACTGGCCATGGCCTCTTTTATTTTAGGAAACTTTCACAGACCTGCCCATTTTTAAAGGGTACCTTACTTTGACCAATGTTTCTTTTGTTTTGAATCATGCCAAGATATGGCATATGGGGTTGTCTGAACATGATTATATTCCTAAGATTTCACGATGAATTCGGCAATGAATCCAGTGTTATTACATGTTCTTCTCACACTGATATACCCTCTGGTTATGTCCAAATAGCTATTGAACATGACCATAGAAATAGTGGATTTTCCCATTAAAAATGGTGATTTTTCCATAGTTATGTATATAAACGTTTACCAGAGGGTACCAACCAGATGCTATTTACCACCCATTGATATCCAGTGTTGTCCATTGATCATCATAAGAAAAAAACCCAGTAGTTCCATAATTTACCCCATGGTTACCCCATATCAGAACATTGGAATCTGTTATATATATATAATATTAATCGAAATAGAAGATCCTAAGCATATATTGGCAATGATTAGCCATTTTAATCCCATTATATTCATATAGTTCACCCAATGGTTACCCATAATATATATCCCTATGATATCCCACCATACCCATTATATTCCCATCATATTTACCATCATATTCCATAGTTAGCCTAATAACTCACCCACTAACAATTATCAACCCATTACCACCTTATTATGAAACCAGCACCCAATGGTGATAATAGCAATAAGGCGTTACTCACTATGGTGTGATCGCCCGTTGGTAATAGTTTGTTAGCCCATAGTGAGTCAGCCATAAAAAAAAATGGCCCGCTACAGAAGATCCATTATGTTTCATCCATTATATTAAGCCATGTATCATCCATTATATTAAGCCACTACAGAAGATCCTTATTAACAGTTGTAGTTCCCATGTTTCATCCATTATGTTCCCATGACATCCAATGGCTACCAAATAACGAAAACCACCTCAATGTGTTGATGATGACTAGTATCAACCGATTATCACCATTATATATTTCCCAGTTTACTCAATAATTATATCCCGGGTCCGAATCATACCCTTCATATTCACATAATGAAAAAATAAGTGCAAACCATACCCTTCATCCATTGTTTTAACCATCTTAGGAGGAACCTAAACCACCTGAATGGGTCCCTCCCGGAAAAAAGTTCCATTATCCCATCCCATAAGTTGGGATATAGGAACCTATCAGTTGCCTCAGCAAAAAACCACCATTAAAAAATCCATTAATTAGCCATATGGCCATATTAACCAAAAATCCCAGCAAAACCACACAACAGTAATCACCATTATAGCATTATGAAAACAGTGATTTATTATTCTATTATATACCATTAAAGTGAATTATGAACCATTATTGACCATAGAATAGCTCCCACTAATGGCTACCCATCATCACTCATCCATTAGTATTAAGCATGAGTATTGGTAATAGATTATGAACCGTTATTCATCCACTATAAAGGGGGGTGGGTCAAATCCTATGAAATTACCATATGACTGCCAAAAGAAACATCCATGAACCATCAAAAGAGCAGTGTACTATCCGGGTAGCCGTCTTTTGACTCAAAGCCAACTACGTTGAACGCTGGCGAATTTCTATAACAACTCGAGCTGTTTCTATATCCCATGATATCCCATGCTATTCTAAATAGGCCATTGTTAGCCATGGTAATCGTTCTCTATAGATGGATTATAGATGGATTATAGATGGATTATAGATGGATTATAGATAGATTATAGATGGATTATAGATGGATTATAGATAGATTATAGATAGATTATAGATGGATTATAGATGGATTATAGATGGATTATAGATGGATTATAGATGGATTATAGATGGATTATAGATAGATTATAGATGGATTATAGATGGATTATAGATAGATTATAGATGGATTATAGATGGATTATAGATGGATTATAGATAGATTATAGATAGATTATAGATGGATTATAGATGGATTATAGATGGATTATAGATGGATTATAGATGGATTATAGATGGATTATAGATGGATTATAGATGGATGGATATAGATGGATTATAGATTATAGATGGATTATAGATGGATTATAGATGGATTATAGATTATAGATAGATTATAGATGGATTATAGATGGATTATAGATGGATTATAGATGGATTATAGATGGATTATAGATGGATTATAGATGGATTATAGATGGACTATAGATGGATTGTAGATGGATTATAGATGGATTATAGATGGACTATAGATGGATTATAGATGGATTATAGATAGATTATAGATATATTATAGATGGATTATAGATGGATTATAGATAGATTATAGATGGATTGTAGATGGATTATAGATGGATTATAGATGGACTATAGATGGATTATAGATGGATTATAGATAGATTATAGATATATTATAGATGGATTATAGATGGATTATAGATGGATTATAGATGGATTATAGATGGATTATAGATGGATTATAGATGGATTATAGATGGATTATAGATAGATTATAGATGGATTATAGATGGATTATAGATGGATTATAGATAGATTATAGATAGATTATAGATGGATAATATAATATACTATAATCTATAATCCATATATTGTGGATTCCCATCACATTCCCACTTGGCGAGGCCCATGCCGTGCCCTGCCTCCGCTGCGGCGACGCCGTGCCGTCCCGCAGCCGCTCGCCGCGGAGGACGGGCGGCGCGCAGGCGGCAACGGGATTTTCATGGGAGTTTTGGTCCGATTTCCGAGGGTTTTTTCGTGTTTTCTGCAACTGGTGAAGGATTGGAAGGGGGATAATGCGGATTAACCATCACATTCATCACATACACCCTTAATGGATTTAATGGGGATCAATTCACAAAAAACATTGAGGAGTTAGCCAACGATAATGTGGGGAAGTTTTAAATGAATTAAAACAACAATGTCATGTGGGGATGCTGGAGATACCCGTCCCAGGAACTGACCATGGGAAATTCATATGGGTTTGGTGATGAAAATAGTGTACCCCAAAAAACCCAATGGTTTTGCTGATCATTATCCCGTTTTTAAATGGCTATTTCATTGGGGGTATACCCCATTTTCAGACATACCCATATATTTTATTGCCATCGTTTTTTTTTTTTAACTACAATTGAGTAATATCATATATTCCAGATTTTCCATATATATTTGCGGCCTTTCCCTGGGAAGATCTGAGAGATTCCTCTGAGATGTAAGGAGATCCTTTGGCTGTTCATTTTGGTCTCCAAGACTCCAAGACAGTGACTACCGTGCTGCCTATGCAGACATGACGAAGAGTCCAACAAGGTCTACTTCTCTCCATCTTGAGCTGAAGAGACTGAAGAGTCTACCGATCAGGTCATCCAATCAAATCTAGATAGTTGTACTGTAATCAAACAATTTTTTGAATATAATTGGTTATACAATGTTATACGTCCTATTGATTAATATTCTGATTAACTAAATATGGATGTGTGAATCTTAATTGTACATATATATATATACATACACACATCTACATAGTGATATCATATTTATTAACTTCCCACAACTATACATAGATGAATAAAGCTAATGTTCAATATTTTATCACTAGTTACATACAGTATATATTATGAGTAACATCCCAATGAAATACGGATTACTCCAACTGAATATCCGAATCATTATTATGAAATATCCTAATTAGTGAGATGTAATGTATATAATATGACTAATCCAATGGAATTTTGATTAATAATCCAATGGAATCAGAATCTATTTTTTCATAGCACTAATCCATACTAATCCGATCCAATATTCCCATCAATCCTATCTGATATTCCCCACAGATCATAGCTGATCTGCCTGGATCGAAGGCTGAGCCTGATGCACACGACGACAAAATCCAGTGGCTCGGCCAAGAAACTCCGGCATCGGAAAGGGATGTTCCATGATTTGATTGACAATGACCAACTTTTTTTGGGGTTCATTTTTTGGGGTTTAATGGTCAATGATTAAAATTCGATGATTTGATCCTTTGAAAGGTGGATATGATGGGATATCTCAGATGATATGATGGGGGATAAAAAACCATCAATACGATGAATAGATCTTGCTGGCATTGGATTAAGCACATTGCTCAGCCATGTTGATCTTGTCGATGACTAAACATGGTTTCGGGACGATGGTGTCACAGCGCAAAAGTCTCTGGACGTTTCTAAGACAAGAAATGTCGAGGTTTGCTGGGAATGTCTTTCCTGAAGGGTTTTAATCATTTTGCTGACCTGTTGATGAGTGGCGTCAGCCACAAGAATAAGAATATCCTGTGACATGATCATGTGACCAAGTTGCTTAACCCGCAAGACAACGGTGGTTGAACCAGGAAAGCACAGGGATTTCAGCGAACAAATGTGATTTGGCAAACACACATTTGGGATTTACCTCAGCAAAAAATGATTTGATCCAACATGAGGATGTTGCTATCTCAAGCACCAAACGGTGATTGAAGGACCTATGAGAACTAGTAAATCCCCATTTGGCTTCTTTGGAATCCCAACCTTTTTACGGCATATTTTTCTTGACACTATAGGGTTCCCCTCAAGGATTGCGACTCCCGCGTTGCAACGTTGCAAGGTGAGGTTTCAAACCACAAAGGACGGGTTCTGGACGGTTCTAATCGAAGTGAAGTTATCATCCCAGTCTCATTCAATCCCTGTTCAAAGCGCATTAACATCATTAACTCTCTATTAACGACCTATTAAGCCCCTCTTAGACCTCCATGAGCCCCGTTGAACCCCTATTTTTAACACCTTTTTTCCCCCCCTATGAAGTTGGGTTTTTTTATATGGTTTTTTCACCTTTTTTCAAGCCTAGAACGTCAGCAGTTGCTTGGTTTTGTGGTCACCATTGGTCACCGAGGTTCGAGGAAGACGACGATGCCGATTCGTGGCTTGGTTAGTTGAAAGCCTCAATGGGTCACCAATATGGCTATGGATCAATAGCTATAGATACCATTACTATAGTGGGATGAACATCCATTTTAACCCAGCTATGACTTGGGGTGAACAAAAGGTACCAGGGTTTTGACCCATCCCCATATTTTGCAGCTTTAAAAAAACATCAACAAAAACGATGACCTGTTTATGGGAATAGTATATGGCATATGGGAATTGAAACCATCAGATGGGAATCGATTTTGCTTTGAAACATTTTGAAATCATCATTTTAGTGGGACTGAAGTCTATCGAAGTCTTTTTTTTGTTTGGCGTTAAAGCAACACACACACACATTTTTGACGAAGATTGGATTTTTAATACCAACAGATCAAGTCCAGGAAGCCAACAGGAAATGGGAAGTTTTGAACGTGCAGATCTGCGGTTTTTATTTTGAGAAGAAAGGAATTGTGAGCTGTAAGAAATATATTGTGACCATGGGAATACCCTCTAATGATAAAATATGGCAATGGAACATTTCCCAGTTCCAGATGTTTGAGAAACCACATTCATGCTTCAACCAAAGAAGGTCTAGATGTCATTCGCAATAGTAATAGTCATTCGATTTAAACGATGTACATATACCATGTTTGTAATTAATTATAATTATACAATATATATATATATGTATATAATATACATGCATATACATGCATGAATCCATACATACATGCATACAGCAGGTAAGACATGCTGACATCGAGTGACTTTTTTTGGGTGGAGCAGCTTTCAACAAGTGAGACGCCGCCGTGAAATTTGACTGAGGATTTTTCCATGATGTCTGAAGTCAACCATTGGTAATTGGGTACGTGCCAGTTTGTTGTTGTCAAGCCACACACCGATTGTTACCCTCTGCTTATGACTAACATAGCCATGGAAAATGGTTGATTTTCCCATTAAAACCTCCATTTATAAGGGATTTTCCATGGCTATGTTAGTCATAGCCAGATGGTAAGTCGTTTAAATGGCTTTGTTTGAAAAACACGGGGAAAAAAACCGACCCGAAATCGACTTTTTTTTTATCATCATCTTTCCCAGAAAAAAATGGGAGTGGGGATTGTGTTTTTTTTTTTTAATTTTCGGTATACATCGGTATACCCCATTTTCAGACAACCCACTTGGTATCAATGCAGACCATGACCCAACCACTTGGCACTAAGTTATTTCGCAGGATCAGGTTATATGGATCCCCTGTTTTCTTACACATCTTCGGCGAAACCGATGATGTTGTTGCATTTTGTTTAACAGATGTCTAAATTTCAAAAATTGAGTGTTTCAAATCCCCCATGAAAATGGCTCGGTCGAGGCAAATTGGAGGTCTGGACCTCGGCAATGAGAACGCTTCGGAGGACGAGCAGTGCCTGGGTCTGAAACTATGGATGTGGCCATGAATGATGCCATTAATGTGGGTAAATTATAGTTAGTAAGGGAAATCATCCCCAAATGGCCGCAAGATTCAGGTTAGTGAAATATTATAATTTACCCAGATTAATGTCAACCCTGGATTAATAAACCCTTAGGCTGTCTAATTGGGGGGGTACCATTTAAGTGTTGGACTATGACTATTGGAGGAGTACCCCCCTGATTAATAAACTATGGTTTATTAATCCGGGTTTGACATTAATGATCATTAATGATAACTAATCATTCATGACCATTGATGCCATTCATTAATGATAATGGGAATATGAATAATGGTATATAGATAGACAATTCATAGTTATACCATTATAATAGCATTATATGATTAGTATCATTATTTTCATGGCCATTAATGATAACTGATAATGGGAATATCCAAATTATACATTACTGATACATTAATTCATTACTGATTACTAACTATCTTAATTGATCTTATTCCCATTACAACATACATTAATTCATACGATTTCATGGTATATGAGTGGTATATATATATATATGAATATGTCCCCCGGATTCTGAGACCGTCTGAGACCTAAAAAAACGCTGGTTTTACGGTCTTGGCTTCAACGGGTTTTCTTTTGGCGAAATTTTTGGAGAAAGACACAGCTGGAAGATACTTTCTACAGTATTCTTAAAATGCTTACTGTAGAATATGGCAAAACATGTCTTGAGAATAATAAAACTATGACCAGCTATCTTTTTTGGCAGGGTACTATAATTATCTATGATAGAATTCATATAGATGGATTATGGAGATAGATAAGGATATGCCCCACTTGCGAATGGACACTTTAAAGGGGGTCAGGAAACCCCAAGCACCTGAGAGATAGAACTTTCGGGACAAAGCTGACACAAAGTATTTTTGGATCACAGAAGGTTGCAGACATCACCTTCAATCCGTGGTTGTTGACATGCCACAATTTGTGACAATGCTCAATTTTTGGGCTTGTTACACATCATAGATTTTACCCCGAATTCCTCCAAACATGGTCTATACTGGGCCAGCAATTTGGGTGCTTCACTGGGCCAATGTCGAGCTATGGCCCCACCGAGACCCAGCTCGATGTTTATTGGAGGGTAAGTTCCTGTTACTTTTCAGGGAGTGATCTTTTCCAGTTTGGGGCTTCGAAAATGATGAGAAACATATATTAAATAATATTAACCCAGTATACAATGGTATATTGATGATCATTAATGATAATGGTATATTTCCAGTGAATGTTTCGAAAACTTTAACCCCTCGTAGTTGGATTTTCATTCTAAAAACGGTGCGATGATCGATTCGACCTACGGATGTGGGCTATACCTACGTATATTTACGTATCATCTATAATATATATATATATTATATTGTTATACACATAATTAATCTATTAGTGTGTATTAATCTCTGTATATCTATATCTCCAATATCTCCTTTATGGTTTTTTTAAAGATGTCCTACCTAGCTATATGTTTTGTAGTACTATATCCCCCTGGCCATGGCTCAGCTCCTCAGGTGCTTTGCCGCCGAGGCCAACGGTTGGCAGATCTTTGGGAAAATCCGATAGATGGATATTAATGAATCCTCTATAGATGGATATGGTTAATGATGGTTAACGATGGTTAATGATGGTTAATGATGGTTAATGATGGTTATAGAATGGGAGAATATATATATATTTATATATATAGACTGGTTGGTGGGAACTGGAACCATGGAATTTTATTTATGACTTTCCATAATTCATATATGGGATAATTAATCCTTCCCATTGAAAAAAAAATCAAGATGGTTTTTTTAACCACCAACCAGATAGATATGTGAATGCCTCATTTCGACTTGACGAGATCACCAGAAAATGATGGGAATTGGATGATCATCCGATCATCCAAAAATTGCATCGACATGTTTGTGAATTATTGCAATCTTTTCGCCAGATTGATGGATAAAAAGTGGGACTGGCAAGAAGAACCGATGTGGAATTGATGTCATTTCATGTTGGCTTAGTAAAATGTGGAAAATTCACCAATGAGAATATGGCCACAAACAGCAATCATGTGCACGATTCTTTATGTCATGTTCCTGAAATGTAGGTTAGTAGACCAACAGCCGCCTTCAAACATTCAATCGCCAGATCCTGAGGGATGCCGTTTTTCTGAAAGGATAGATCACCATGAAGAAAATATCAGTTTTTTCTACGTATATATGGCATAGAAAGGCATTCTATGGTGATATAATAGTGATATGATAGTAATACCATGGTGATATAGTAATGATATTATAGTGATAGTTGATATAGTATAGTATCCTGCAAAAGGGTTCTACTTGTATGACTTCTATCATTTTATCACCATGTATGACTGTGATATAATGGTATTTATACTGCTGATACAATAGTGATCATATAGATGAATCAGATATAATACTCAACATCCATTTATAGATGATTCCCATATGTATATATATATAATGAATCCATTTATAGATGAATTTATATGTGAAATCTCCCCACGATTCAGAGCCGACATGTGCCGCAGGATGCCAAATCAGAGGCCAGTGATGAGCCGGAAAGGCGCCAGCACAGCCGGTGATTTTCCCATGATCTCCAGATGGATTTAAACACCTCATATATATATATATATATACACCAGATGGTAATATATATGGAATTTGGATTATATATCCATTTTGCCATCTGAAATCCAATCTGGATTATATACATATACCCATTTGCCATTTGGAATCATTATATATAAAGACCTAATAAATGGATTTTATACCCACCTAATATGAAATAGCCATCTGAAATTATTGCCAAAACCGACCTAATTCATGGATTTTATAGCCAGATTCCCATTCTATTCTCCAGTTCAGATGGTGACATCCGGATTTTTGCAATTCGAACTGTTAATTTACTGGAGGCTAATTTCTTGGGACACTCTGATCAAAACTCGGGGAGGTCCCACAGCATTGATAGCTATGAAATATTGAAATTGCTACCTCCCTATTCGTTTGAACTGGTGGTTTATTGAGCCTGGATAAACATCAGTTGCGATAAATCAGTTGCCTGCCATTTTTGAAGATTAGTCGATATTCACCATCCCAATGGATACAGTGAATGACTGGTTCGATACTCCAGGTTTGACATCAGCAATGACTGGAGAATATGATATTTTTTATTTTACCTACTTTTGGAGGTTACAACGTATATACCTTTATTTTGAATGACTGTTGTAAGTTGTAATATTCTTGGAAGATTTTCGATTGGATGAAGAATGGGCATTGGTCAAAATGTGTTGAATATGTCACAAACTGATTGGTCATTTCATGGAGCTTCAAAAGTATACAGTTTTTTCTGGATTTTTGGTCAGTTTGAACTTTAATCAAAGAGAATTGTGGATGGACAATGAAACGCAAGTCCGAAAAAAAACAAACAACTGGTAGACAAGAATTGGTTGAGGATAAAACGCATCAACCGCAAAACCCAACCACAACAATTGGGGTGGCAAATCCAATAGCCATCCCATTAACCAAGGATAACTGAGGGTCATGATAGCATGCTATATACCCAACCAGAAACCTCAAACTTTGAGATGGTTTGTCTTAGTTATCCCATGAATTTCTCACTAGTCACTATTATATGCAATTATCCCATGTTAATCCAAATTAAGCACCCAATAGTTATCCCATTGCCCACTATTATCTCATAGATATCCTACTTTTTTTCGGATGATGACTATGGCATTGGCTCAATCCCACCATATTTCCGTAACGGTTGCGACCGAAACATTTTTTTCCTATTGCCACGGTGCTCTCTATGGAAAATCCTCCCTTTTTTTCTTGATTTTCGCAGCTCGAAACCTCCATGTATAGTTGATCTTCCACTTAAAACCTCTATTTGAAAAGGGGTTTTCCTGTTTCCCAACAATTTTCCTATATTTTTCCATATTTTTTCCCAAACAAAAATCCCTTATATTTCCATATATTTCCTATAGTTGTTCACATTTTTCCCAAACAAACATCCATATACCCTCTGGTAATTTGTAACATAGCTATTGAAAATACATCATAGAAATAGTTGATTTACCTATTCAAAATGGTGAACAAATGCAGTTAGCAAACGGTTAATTTACCAGAGGGTATATCAATCTGGCATCAATCTGGCATACCATTTACATCCATTTACTATATTTGGGTATGGATCAATACCTATTAATACCATTTTTAGGGGGATGAACATCCATTTACCAGCTATTTTGATGTTCACCAGGGGTACAAGGTTTTGACACACTGCCATATTTTACTATCACTTGCTCTAGAAATTGTCTCGCCGGGACCCCATGAATCCCAGGCTACAGCGGGAGGCCGACGATCAGCGCCTGGAAGAGCTCAACAGGCCAGGCGCCAGGCCACGGTTGGATTTCTGTGGTGAACATCAATGGGTTGTAACTTATGGAAAAATCTATGGAAAATCTATGGAAAATACTATGGAAAATACCCATTGACAATCTATGAGTTATGGAAAATTTATGGACAACTATGGTTCATCATGGCAATATGTATTGTTAATAACGGTGTTTTTTTTTAATGTTATGTTAATTGTTATGTTAATTGTTATGTTAATTGTTATGTTAATGGATGTTAATGGATGTTAATGGATGTTAATGGTTAATGAGGTTAATGAGGTTAATGGTTAATGGTGATGAATTACGGTGATTTTCATGGGTTGTTGGATGAAATCTTATGGTTGTCTAAAAATAGGAGAAAAAAGACATATGAATGAGTACTTTAAATGGATACGACTCACTATGGTGATGAATGGGATTGATTTATGGGTTAATCATATGCATATTCAATGGGATATCTGGTGGTAATCAAACACAAATGTGTTCATCCATGTATTTCATGGGATATACCGGGATGTTGACCAAATAATAATATAGGATAATGTGGTATCATAGGGGCAGAAACCATGGCTAAGAAAGTGTTTAGTATTGGGTCAGTATGGAATATCATGGAATATGATTGTTAATAATGATTTTTCCTTGTTAACATATATGAAAATGCAGACGGATGGTCGCTCTGTTTAAAGCTTTGTATACTCAATGAATATGGTTTATCATTTAGTATAATGGATTATAGTATAATCCACTGGTTGTATTCTGCTGGTTGTATTCGAAAATGTGTATCTTATAATGGGATAGCCAGTGGATTATCATTGGGAGAAGCACTTTTGTATACGACCTGGGAAATCATCATCAAATTAACGGGTGACTATCCCAACGTGGGGATGGTGATGGGAATGGGGATGGAATCTGATGGAAGGCTCGGATGGGGTATGCAACCATCGATAAACAACAGAGGTTTTTCTTGTGGATATTCAATGATATTCACTCGTTTTTTTGTGGTGGATTTACCATTCATATCCGTTTTTTTAATGTTTTTTACATGAGGGACACATGTGGTTTGTAATGGGATATATATATAGATGGAATTATGGAGATCCAATGGTATGGCTTTTATGGGATATCGGTATAGCTAACCAATAACATGTGTGTATATTGGACAATGTGGTATCATGGGGGGAAAGACCAATGGTTAAGGCGGGTTAATATTGGGTCAATATGGAATATCATGCAAGATTCTTGTTGAACATCAGTTTTCCTTGTTAAAATGGAGAGAAATGGTCTTGAATAAGATGTATACCCTCTGGTAAACTAACATAGCTATGGAAAATCACTATTTTTAATGGGTAAATCCACTATAAATGGCCATTTTCAATAGCTATGTTAGTTTACCAGAGGGTATACCAAATTGATCTGGCTCAGAATGGGAACCACATTCCATGTGACCTGGGATAGAACCAATGGGATCTGGGCTTCGAGGGTTGACACATGAGCGGCTGCGATGAAACCCCTGTTGGTTAATGATTCGTTGGGGGATGAACATCTACCCTTCATATTAATTGGGGGTTATAGACTTATAGGAAATATATGGACATATGTCCATATATATATATTATATGGAAATATGGACACATATGGAAAAAATATAGGAAAATTGTTGGGAAACATATAATTATGATAATCTAGGAACGGGGAATCCCTATTAACCTGTTCCGCGATTCGAGCTAGAACCATCTATCGAATGTCAGGGCTTTAGATCCCCGGTCGATCTATGAGGATACACGGGGACGTTAGGAATTTTGGTGGATTTACCATTATTTTCCATTCAACATTTTCATAGATTGGGTTTATTATACAATGAACAAATCAAAGTAAGTACATAATAAGGGAGATAATGGGATGTGATATCTAGTCTAATGTCTATTTTGTTTGAACTACCCAGCAATGCTCTGTGAAAATCTATATATCAACAGATGGGTCAAAATCGCAGTGGGGCATCAAACTTGACCCTTAAGAGTATCGTTGCCGTTAAATTGGAGGGTGAACATCCAGAAACGGATTCGCCCAATGTGATGGATCAAACATTTGCGATTCAGAAACGCTAATTTCTTCATTTACAAACAATTTACAAACGCAAAAAATTGGATGGCATGGGTCAAAACTTGGAATTTCCCTCCATTGGTCCGGGGTGGCCTTCGCCTTTCCTTTATTGTGACCATGGCCTGGAATTTTTTTGACCCCGCAGGACGATGAATATTTGTTCAACGAAAAAAATGGGAATAGCTGGGGATACTTTATATTCTGATTGGTGGTTTGGAACATTTTTTATTTTCCATAATATATGGGATAATCCTTCCCATTGACTAATATTTTTCAAGATGGTTAAAACCACCAACCAGTTATATTTTATGTGATATATTTTAAATTTTCTAATACTTTCTGGGAATGTTCAACTATAAAATGGGATAGTTCACAAAATTTATCCCATTTTTTTAAATAAATATTAATATTTATTAATTGTGAACTTTTTGTTCATCCCAAATTTCACACTGGACACTGCAAGAGTCCATTGATGGCCATTGACATTCGCGGGTCATGAGGCGACTATTATGAATACTTATATAACTTTATCAAATGACAATGAAAAGTCAAATCTGTCAAATCTTTAGTGAAATATTTATTAAGTGAAAAGTTAACGAACCCTGTCAACCCCAAGATCACTGGGAAGTATTTGAAAATCAACAAAGCATACTGGTCACATGGAAATGTAAACCACGCTTGATCTATGTGAATTTTCAGTTCGATCTCATCCCAATAGGGGTCAATGACGCCTATTTTGGTTTCATTGTTTTCCTTCATCTGCATCCCCAACGGCATGTTGTAATGATTCTAATGTGAATGGAATGAATTCGGATATTCTAAATATGGAGGTTTCCATAAATAGGGCTACCCCCAGTCATCCATTTATGGATGGATTTTCCATAAATAAACCATCCTAATACAGTCCAGCTATTGGGTACCTTTATGGACACCTATATATGGATAAACATGGGGTAAATTTCATCACGACCGAACTCGTCGCGACCGACGCCTGGAATCATGGTAATCGATTGCGGGAAATCATCCCCTTTTATGGCCGCAAGATTCAGGTTAGTGAAATATGATAATTTACCCAGATAATATACTATATTATACCTTTATAATCCTTTATATATAGAGAGGGGATCTATGGATTACCATTTCACCATCGTTTTGAACCCTGGCTCACCTGGGATGATTGTTGGTAAAAAAAGACACAACATGTTTAAGCCACACTGATTCTCATCTCTTGTTAGATGTTGATGATGATGGCCAACAACCCACTTTTCGACAGGTTTTCTTGAAAAGAGCCACAGGAGTTTCTCGGAAAACGGGGGATATCCCTAAAATCCATGGTTGATCATCATTTTCCCAACAATTGAATTGGCTTAATACTGGAGGTATTTTTAGCATTTTCAGACCCATCATATCAAGTATATACTTGGTTTTTGAAATAAACCCAACTACACAGAATTAACCCATCTTTTTCCCCCCTGTTGCAGCTTAGCTTTCCTTAAAAAATCATCATCTCTCACTGGGTGTACGCTCTACGCAACGGCATCATCTTGACCTCTGGGATTTGGATGGGGAAAAACACCACATTTTTTGGTGGGTAAAAAATGAGCATTTTGGATAGGTAAAAATGGCCAGTGATTGTGGAATCAATCAATAGGCCATTTAAAAAAGTTACCTTAGGTCAAGGCCATTAAAAAAAGTTACCCTAAGTCAATAAATCCGTATACTTTTGCTTGGAAACTCAGGGTAAATCTCCAATTGCTGCACATGTTCGCCACTTTTGCCACACTTTTGGTGGTCAGGTATCGCGAGGATCGACCACGACGAGTGCTACTGGACTGGACCCCCAGGACGGGTTTGAAAATGGGCTGAACTGGATGGTTGTGGCAGATGGGGATGAAACATGGGGTTTAATAAGGTTGAAAGAGCCATTCTGATGATATTTTGGTCAAAACAGTGACATAACTGCTATCATTTCATATCATTTCCCAATCTTGGGGATTGTCATGAACACTTACAACCCAATCTGCCAATCTTTTAAGCGGCAGACACAACTGGCAGTAATATAATTCCTACACTGGGACGACCATCCCAGTGGTTTTCACACGATGTCAGGAGTTGAATCTCACACCATTGCTGCAGACCGGTCACCACGAAATAAAAATTAACTTGGCCTTGATTCGAGCAATGGTTTCTACTGGTGCCAATCATACAGTGCTTCTCCGCAGTGATGGCTGTGCTGTTGCTGCGGGAGAAAATCGATATGGACAATGCGACATCCCGCCTTGTGATGCGGGTGCTCGGCAGCATGTGATCCGCAATGCTTGGCGTGCTTGGTGCCTTCATACGCATTGCCAATCAAATCGTCGCGATCGGGATCTTGATTGTTTTGACAATGGTGTTTTTCGTAGAATTGATTGGGATGGTGTTCGGAAGTTTGCTGCTTCTGGACCAGAGGCACGTGCTGTGGCAACAGGGGGTTGTTTTTCCCCTGCTGCTTTCCATAGCGCCCAAAATTTTGATGTTGATGACACTTGCATTTGGCATCATTTGGCCAGGTTGTCACGACATTGGCACTTTTGACCACATTGTGTGGACACGTCCTTGTCGACCTTGTAATATGGATATCCCACCTCGACCGGGTGAAGTTCTCGTGGCTCGGTTTGGGGTCTTTTCTCGTTCGGTTGCTGACATGGATCGTGTTGCTTGGCTTGTGTTTGTGCAACGTAGAATTTGGGATCTCCGGCATGGCTCTTAGTGCTATGTCGGTCCCGGCACATGTTTGCTCGTTCGTTAGGTTCTTTTCTTTTGGGTTGCCTTGTTTTCCCCCTTTTGTTTGGGGTTGATTACTGGCGGGTCCCTGGTACTATTATGTTCGGGGTTTTTGTGCCCTGTGGATTGGGTGAGGGCACTGACTTGTTTAGTGCCTGTTCACGTGCGCTGCTCGTTTGGGGGTAGTTCACTCAAGAGTTTCACATACACCGAGATTTCTGCTGGTGCCAATCATACAGTGCTTCTCCGGAGTGATGGCAGTGCTGTTGCCATCGGAAATAATACGCATGGACAATGCAACATCCCACCTTTGAAGGAGGGCATGGCATACATCCAGATTTCTGCAGGCATTTCTCACACAGTGCTTATCCGCAGTGATGGCTGTGCTGTTGCCGTTGGAAGCAACAGATGTGGACAATGTAACATCCCACCTTTGGATGAGCGAATGGCATACAGCCAGATTTCTGCAGGTATGGGTTGTACTGTGCTTGTCAGGAGTGATTCGGAGTGATGGCAGTGCTGTTGCCGCTGGAATCATTGGATCTCGAAAAATCAGCATTCCGCCACCAAACATTTTTTTTTACATCAGTGATACAACCGGCAGAGACTTAGTTCTACAACTAGAGTTTGCGTACGCAGAAGATGCGGTCACGCTGATATGCTCAACTTTGGTTGGGGAAGAGCGCTGTCGTTTGACTGCACAAGGTGTTGCAAAAATGCCTGGGAGACGCACAGCTGGGAATCGCAGGTGAATTGCATGTGAACCAGTGAACCTTTCAAATATCCAAGTCATTTTGCCAGGGCAATTGTTGGCCAAAGTCTGCCTTGACAGTTGCTGAGGTGAGTCAAAGCACTCATCACCTAGAGGGATCCTGATTTCAATGGAGAAATCCCGTCAAAATCATACCCTCCCATGGGAAAAACCGATCTGGTGGCATTTACAAGGGAAATTAATATGTTTCGGCACGATTTGGTGGGTTAAAAATTACTTCAAACAGCGCGAAACACCGAGACTCTTGACCACAGATCATCCCACGAATCGTGCTGATTGTGGGCTTACCCTTTGGTAATCAGCTCCATGGCTGGAGAGTCCCTCATTTAGTTCGATGATTTTCCCAGCTAAACATGCCATGTTTGGAGGCAGGATGGTGTAAGCCTTGGTTGGGGAGATTTTCCACCATGAGTATTACTACAAAATTACGTCTAAACATTACGCTCTAATCCTCTCATGATTATCGTACTTTGCTTGGTGTAATATGGTGTAATACTTCAATCATACTATATGTTTCATCCTATCTCCATTTATAAGTATCAATGGGGAGAGATACATCCATTCGCCAGCTGAAAAAAATGATAGTTTGCAGGGTATCTAAGATTGGTCATGGTTATTTCACTGGGTGCCCCATACTCATTTGCAATGGGGGCCAACGTTTGTTCCCGATTCCGATTATCCCATTCTGACTTGTGGACGGTCAGAATCCTACTATGTTGAACGGGAACCCTTCCCTACGCATTCAGGAAAAACACCGCTTCTTTTGTTGTGTTTTTTCGACTTATTGTGTTGAAGACATCGTTGTTTTGGATACAACTTGAGTAACTCCCCATCTCCCCATTTCGAGTGAACAGTGACAGTCACCAACTTTGTTGAAATCTCCCTGAATTTCTGCTGGTAACGTCCACATTTCTCTTGGTCAACATCACCGGTCAAATCCTGATTGATGGTGCTGTTATCGGAACGTCCCCAGAAATCTGCTGCCGAAATCGGCGACATCTCCAGGACGGGGCGCATCTGCGACTGGAACGCCGATGCCACGGAGGGGTGGATGCTCGAAGCACATCAGATCCCAAGTGACGAAGTCCATGATTTTTCAGAGGGGTAGGTCAACCAACAATTAAGGATAACTTATTATTGAATCGATTTGAATCGGATGATTGAATAATGTTATATAAATATATATAATTATATATATTATATATATTATATATAAATATATATAAATAGCATGAATTCATTGAGAATAGTTCTTGGGAATTAAATAGTCCGATGATTGGGTAATAACCATAGTCTACGCCAGTTCAGTACCGCTTGATCATATTATACTTAATCCCTTCCCCCCAAGATGACATTTCAATCCCTTCCAACAGGGATACAGTGGGGATCTAATGCAATACAATAGGATATGATGGGGATATTATGAGGTTCTAATGTGTGACTAGATATAACTAGACTCTGAGCCCATCAAGACAAGACCCCCCCCCATTCAATACGAATGGAGGAATTGTAGATGATACAGTGATTGATTCTTCTTTGTTTTTATATAGGAATGGAGGATTGGTTATGGTAGAATGATGTAGAATCCCTTGCCCCAAGATCAAATACCACCCACGAAACCCTGGTTTAGGACTGAATCTGTTGTTTTGTTGGGGTCCATATATGGGGGAGGGATTAATGTCACGAGACTTGGGTTTAGCTTTCAATATCCCAATGTTTTTTTTTATTTGAATGGGACGTGTATATCTTTTTTTCTGATGATCTGAAATGATCTTACCCTCTGGTAATTTAACATAGCTATAGAACATCACCATGCTATTAATGGGAAAACTCACTATTTCGACTGGGTCATTTTCAATAGCTATTTTGACATAACCAGAGGGTAAATGATCATCCAAATGGCTTTAAAGTTCTCTCTTAGGCATCCCTGAAAATCCACTCACGAACACTCCAGATTGGTGGAGGATTTTCTGGATTTTCCAGCCAAAAAAACCAGATTTCACTGAGAAAAGAACAGTGCCATGTCTCCTTCAAATCAACGAGCATGTGGTTGATTATAAACCCAAATTGAGTCCCTCAACATATCTCAATATCCCAGAATATGACTAAATATGATGACTAGGATTCGTGGATGCCAAAACAGCCTAAAAAGTATTGCGTGGGATTCATGATCCACTACTTCAACCTGCTAATCCTTGCAGGATTTTTTGTGACTGATTATTGGATGGTTAATGATGGTTAATGATGGTGAATGATGGTTAATCATGGTTGATAATGGTTATAGAATGGGAGAATATATATATATCTGATTGGTGGTGACTGGAACCATGGAATTTGGATTGACTTTCCAGAAACAGTTGAGAATTTCATCATCCCAACTGATGAACTACATCATTTTTCAGAGGGGTAGGCTCAACCACCAACCAGTCATCATTAATCATTTATTGAATCACCATTATTATGATCATTTTTAACCATTATTAACCATTGTTTTACACATATATTATATAAATATATTAACCATCATTAACCATATAAATATATCACCAACCGGTCATCATTGTGATTGATTCTTCAAGAACTAATGATTTTTGCCCCGTGGTAATGGCCATGATTTTTCGCACAGTTTTAGGTCGTGGGTGTTGTCGTTGTACATTCATCTGGATGAATTTTGCCACGACCTCACTGTGGCATCACTGGAATGATGGTTAGATATGGTTAGTGAGGGGTAACTACAGATTGATTAGATTTAATTAGATTTATTTCACTAGTTAATGATACATTGATTGGCCACTACAGATTTAATTAGTGGATTATCGTATCATTCATCCCGAAATAGTCTGAGATCACATCGCGGGGGGGGCGGTCCGATCATCAATGTGCAACAACAGCCTTATATCATCTTGTATATCATCTTATCTTATACCATGTTATATGAGTTATATGTTAGTGAAGTACAAATCATATCATTTCATATCAATTCATCCAGATTTTTCATATTTTTTTCCATCAAACAGAGGGGTCAAGAGTGGCCCATGATGGTTGGATGTAACCCCCAAGTATCCCAGGTATTTCCCAACGATGTTTGATGGGAATCCATCTCTATCCATCTCTATCCATGCCAATCATCATGTCTTTTCCAGAGAATTTCTATCCACCACGCCTCTTCAATCTCATCACCCATGCATGTATAGGATGTATACACTATTCGATTGTTAGTTTATATTAGTGTATGTATTATCATCTTGAGTATTTGTATGAAATCTCCTTAACTTTAAATAGGAATGTAGCTAATTCCACCATTAATTTCGCGGTATTTCTGTCATAATGTCTGTCACTGAGAAAAACAAGCAGGATGTGGTATTCAACTAGATGGTTCCATGAAATTTCGAAACTGAGGCTTTAGTGCTCAACAACTCCAGTCAATAAGTCGCCGTTCAGTGGGGTTATCCTTGATATAATTGTTTTACAGTATAACACTGTTTATGATCCAGTTACATATTGAAATTCACATTGATATTATATTGTACTACAAGTTGTTAAATATGTTTTTTTAATTAACATAATACTAACTTGCAGGAAGCAAGTCCAGATAGGAACCATTCTGGTTCAGTTTCTGATTGACTTGTTGGTCCTGGCTGCCTATGGCGGTCTCTGTGGTTTTATGGAACACCCTTGCTTTGCAACATGGCTCATGAAGTTGCAACCTGCGTCTGTGTGGGCATTGTCAGCCACCAGAATGCTTGCTCGCCTTCAATGCTGCGAGATTGTTACGTTTGATCAATGTGTCTTGCGCCTCCACCCCCTTCTTAATCCTGGAAGCGGGAATGGTTGGCTGCAGATGTTGACAATGTGTCTTTGCTCTACAAGCCCTTAAAACCAACGACATCTTTACTTCACTGCATTCATTTGGAGACACGGCGAGGTCCCGCGGATGTAAAGGCCGATGTCCACACGTTGGAGCCGTTGGAGGCCATAAATGTGAGCAGTTGACAGTGGTTGTGCATGATATCCAAGCACCGACTCGTATCTGCAAAGTATCAAATACTAACTTGCAGTTTATGTAATTTACATATTTGACAATAACCCAGTTGTAAGTATGGTTTATATATTACATATCCAGTGTTTATAATATATTAATCCTGGTAATATACATTACCATGGTTATATCCTGGTTATACATATCCAGTGTTTATACATATCCAGTGTTATTACATTACCATGGTTTATATCCTTGTCATACCATCTGGTTATTTAACAGTTCGCCATGGAAAATCACCATGCTATTAATAGGTAAACCATCTATTTCTATGGGCTATCTATACCATGGCTATGTAACAAATAACCAGAGGGTATATCCCATTAATATCCCATTAAATCACTATAAATCACTATAAATCCCATTAAACCATTCTGACCCACGATTCGTTTATCCAAGGATCGAGCCCGACGAGCTTATCGCGGGTCCGCGCGGCCGGCCACGGCAGCAGCGCGTGTGGTTCAGCGACAGCGACCTGTCGAGCGCTTTCGATCCATTCCACCCGGTGGCGCGGCAGCAGATGGCCATAGTTGGATGGTCCTAAAATCTCTGGAAATCCCCAGCCAAACCCATGGTTGAGATCTCCAGGGATTCCCCAAAATCTGTGAATCGCCAAAATATGAGCTGAAAAACCTATGGTGGAGATATTTTTCAGTGATTCCCATATACATATTTGATGTGCACAGCAGTTGAAAAACTATATATAGTACAATGTGGTGCCCCCCAGTTATAAGTTGGTTTATAAACCCCATTAACTATAGTTATATCTGCCATAAACCATAGTTATGGGAGTTATAAACCAACTTATCTAACTATGGGGCACCACCTTGTAACTATCGTTGGGGGGTGTTGTTTATACGAAGAAACGGGATGTTGGGATGAATTTCATCAGGAATCAGTCACAATTACCATCCCATATTCCTGATACCCTCTGGTAATTTAACATAGCGAACTGGAAAATATTGGAAAGATCCACCATGCTATTAATGGGAAAACTCACTATTTCGACTGGGCCATTTTCAATAGCTATGTAACAAATTACCAGAGGGTAGTTGAAATCACACCATAATTTTAACGGAATACTTTTTTCAATGACCATGTTCCATAAAATATCTTGCTGAAATAAACAAATACCAATTTCCCATGGTTTTTCAATGGTCACAGGTTTTTCGCTCGGTTTTTCCCAGCGAGGACTTTGACATTGAAAAGTTAGCCTGCAAATTCCTGCTGCCGGGAGCCCAGCTGGTTGATTTCATGGAAAATCCCAAAGAAAAACCAGCTATTGGAGTACCCCCCAAAATAAATCAAAATAATATATAACTGTAGTATTCATGGATCTTAATGGATGTTAATGGATGTTGATCCCCCAAAATGGATGATTTACAGTGGAACATGCTATTAAAATGGATGATGACTATGGGTACCCCCATGGCTATGGAAACCTCCAGTTGGGAATGGGTCAACCTTTTTAACATGCGAACATATCCTGGATATGGATTTGTTGTTGGCTGCAGAAAGAATGTCTGACAGTATGTCATAGTATTTATCAGAGAAGATGATAGAACTCAACATATGTGGCAGGTAGAATGTCAGAATCCATGTCAGGATATTTACATATATTTACTACAGTTGGATCACACGAAGTGAAACAATTTCCTTTTTGTCGTCGCAGCATTTTGTGGTTCGTATGTTCATTCTGCTGGCAAACCCTTGGGTGATTTTTGTGGTTTAAATAACCATGATATTCCTAGAAACCATTGTTTTTGTTGATGCCCCCCTAGAAACCATTGTTTTTGTTGATATTCCTAAAAAATAACCACAGAAACCATTGTTAATAACAATGATATTCCTAGAAACCATGGTTTTTGTTGATGCCCCCCTATGCTATTTTACCGAGTTGGCGGATCCCGATTTTTTCATGGCCGATTCAGAAAGGTACGAAGCTCAGGGAGAGATGTGCGCCGCCTTCGTGCCTTGACGGTCTTGACGGTTGACAATGGCGATTGGTGGTTTGGGAATTGTTGATGTTATTTTATTCAAGGGGTATAATGTGGGTAGAACAAGAATAAACCACCCATTTGGGAATGGCTTTTACCACCTATAAAAATGGTGATTTGGGGGGAGGGTTTAATCTTGTTTGAACCACATAAGACAGCTTTTGACTAGCAGATGAAAGCCCGGGTCTTGTAATCCCGGAATGGTTTTTAATGGTCACTGTAAACATGAACAGATGATGTTCCTCAAAGGGAAACGCAACAATTTATATGATATAATATATAATATGTATATTATATATATGATATATGATACATATATATATAATATTTATTATATATGATATTATATTATATTAACAATTTGTATCGCAACAATTCAAGGATTCAAAACCAGGAAGTCAAAACCACATATGGCTGGTGTCTTTTTTCGACTCAGCGATTCGGGGCCAACTGTTGGGGTAAAAAAGGGTCAACAGCCGGAGTTAAACCCTTCTGTTACCAACATAACTGGTTTATGGATGTTCATTTCCCAATAAAATGGTAAGCTTTCATCCTTCCCCATATTGCAATGGTTAATCCCAATTATCCGCATGAGAACCCGTGTGTTGATGACAAAATCCTATTCTCACATGATATAATTACTCACCAGTACCTATTGTTGGTTTGCAAGTAGATATAGGTACATTATATTGGTATTGTACTCTCATTCATAGATACGTTCCCACTCTATCCCATTATGACCCCCAATGCACGGTTGCTTAAATCCCATGAAACTCAATCCAGAAATGCCACAAAAACTATCCCCCACCAGACCCAGGTCACTCTTACAGATGAAGGCGCCAACAGCGATGGGAACGTTTTCGGTGTTATGTGTCTTTCATGTTTTTTTTTTTTGCGTGGATTTCCTATGGATTTTGCTACGGATTTTCGATGGTTTTCCTTGTTTTTCCATCTGGGAGGCGACCAAAACCAACATCCCATTTGTGAAGATATTCTATATGATTGGTTCTATGATGTAGGATTAGAAGATGAACAATACCATGAGAAAAAACATAATATATATATATACACTCCCCAACAATTATTTATGTTATTTTGAAGATTTTTGAAGCATACTAATCCATTGTTCGTGTCTTATCTTCCGAAAGGTTCTCGAAAAAAACACCAGCCCAACCATGAATGACCTCTCAACTTCTGGATGATCCATTGATCATTTCATAGATTTGCTTTGGTTTTCTGACGCATTTTGCATGATTCACATTACGTTCCACAGATTCTCCATAGACTTTCTTGACTGGACGTGGATTTTCCATATGTTTTTCACATAGTTTCAGAGATTCTCATCAGAATTTTCCATAGACTTTCCAGATCTTCATATTTTTTCAGACATTTACCAGGCACCAGAGATTTTCCCTTTTTCCCTTGCCCTGGCGGGCGCCCCGTTGCCCCGTCAAGCGCCGTCCGTCGTTCAGGTTGCTTGGCACCGCAGCGCAAGCTGCCGCCGCTGCAGGTACTGGCGCCGGAGTCCCCGAGTCCGTCGGGGACCCAGATCAATGGTGTATAGGATGATATCTAAAGGGATTACTGGCTGGTGGTTTGGAACATTTTTTATTTTCCATATATTGGGAATAATCATCCCAACTGACTTTCATATTTTTCAGATGGGTTGAAGCCACCAGCCAGGATTATATTTATAGGCAATTTATAGGGGTTAACGATACTTATAGGGATGAAAATAGGGACTAATGATTAATGGTATATAGATGTATATAGTGATAGGGATCAATGGTGTTATTTAGATTTCATATTTATAATATATTTAATGTATATTAATGGGTGTATTATATGGTATGTATACCATCATTGGGACTTAATGGTATTAATAATAGATCAATGGATTAGTGGTACTATATGGTATTTATAGGGTAATGATATTAATGGTGTATTTGAATTTGCCATCATTGGGACATGAATGATGGGTATATGGGATATTGGGATTTATAGGGATTAATTGTATATAACAGGGATGATATACCCAATTAATAGGGATATGATGAGATATGATGAAATGATGGGATATAATGGGATATAACGGGGATACATTACTCCAGGGCTCCAGAATCACATTCATTGGGGGTTTAGCATCAGCAATACTTGGTATCATTATTGATAGGTATATCCAATGAATAGGTATTACAAATATTGATGATACATGTATATATCCAATTAATATGTCTGTTTTAAACAGGGATTATATATGTTTTATAATTAACTAATAGGTACAGTGGATCATTATATAGGTATATCCAATTAGTCCGTATATAATACAGGAATATCATATCATAATATATATATATATATGATGGGGTGGATATTTTGGCCATTTATAGGGATTCAGGGGCTTTGATAATATATGTGGTATGTTTAGGGATTAATGGTATTTAATAGTAACTCTATACCCAATTCGTAGGGATGCAATGGCATATAGTGGGGATGTAATGGGACAGTTATTTCGGCTTTGACCAGCAAGAGGGACAATTATTTATGGAGTTTGATAGAGATACATGATATATACAGTAGAGATATGCGGGATATATATGGATATATGACAAATGGTACATTTACAGGGATTAACAGGGTTGAATAGGCTGATTTTTTGGATCTTGGCCCTATGGGCAGTCAAGACATATGGCAGTCATGATGATACACATTGATAAAGCATCAAAGTTGGGGTATTAACATAGATATAATGGTGGTATTTTATAGATTTTTATAGGATATACCCCCTCTAGTGACTCTAGTAAACTATCATAGCTGTGAGAAATGGCTTATTTATAGTTGATTTACCTGTTTGACAAGGTGATTTTCCATAGCTAAATTACTAGAACACCCTGTACAAATGGGTAGTATGATGTAGTATGTGAAGTCGCAAATAACGTTTTTATATGTTTTTATTGGGACAATCATTTGTAATATTTGGGTATGGGTCAATACCTATAGATACATTTTTAGTGGGATGAACATCCATTTACCAGCTATTTTGGGGTTCACTAGGTACCAGGGTTTTGACCCATCCCCATTTCAATGGGACTATTGCAAACCCCCGTCGCGAGCTAAGCTGACGAGAATGATGGGACTAGGGGCTTCATCATCCCAAGCTGATTTTCAACCATGGTTGGTGAGTTACCCTCTGGTAAACAGTCACAAAACTATGGAAAGATCCACCGTTTTTAATTGGTAAATCCATTATAAGGCAATTTTCAATAGCTATGTTTGTTTACCAGAGGGTATTTTTTTTGGTCAGAATAATGAGTTGACTGGAGGCGAAATCCCAAATTCCAATGAATCCCAAGTCCATTCACCCCCATGAAATCCCAATGAATCATAGATATACCCAGTACCGGTACAAAAAACCTCTCCCAGGAAGAACGAAAGCCCGGACGGTCCAGAGGCGCAGTGGGTGATGGAGATTTATAGAAGCGTAATATCCATGGAAGGAGTCGAATGGTTGGTGAATGGTGGAAATCATTGAGATTTCCCACTGTTGATGTTTGCCACTGATGATGTTTTTTTTTTTCCGGAACGCAACTTCAGCTTTGGGAACGAACAAAAAAAACTTTGCTGATCATTTGATAAATGACAATGGAAAATCAGCAATTTGTCATTCAGATAAATCATGGAAATCATGGTAGCCAATGTTGGATACCCTCTGGTAATGACTAACATAGCTATTTAAAATTGCCATTTATAGTGAGTTTTCCCATTAAAAATGGTGGATCTTTCCATAGTTTTGTGACAGTTTACCAGCGGGTAGCAATGGTAGCCATGTTCGGCAGCATTTGCGAACTCACTACATGGCTAGCCATGCAGCCGCTATGCAACTTGATCATCGTAGCTATGGCCGAGATATTTTTCCAGCTCCGCTGATGGCGAGGGGTAAACGAACTACGAAACATGTTACTATTGTTATAACAAATGAGGGATAAACTAGCCATTGGGATAAGCTATTTACAACTATTTATATGTTACTACATGTTACTAGCTAGTTTATTATTTTTTGTTACTATTCATAAATGGGATAACGGCATTTCTTGGCAGCTATAACGGCGCACCCAAAAAGCCACCTGGGATGATCCTCGTGGTATCGTCGGTGAGGGGCCTCGTCCCGCTATCATTGCACCGATTTATGGCACCATTTGGCTAAGGCCTAAGGGCATCTAAGGGCTAATTTTCACGGGAGATGTTCCCAAATGTACTGATGTACCGGTATCTTTTAGATTTTGAGGGTCTTGAAATTCCCATTGATCCAATGGTGCCATAAATCCTATGAATCGTAGGTGACGTTACCCAGTGATAACCAGGTTTAGAAGCTACTTAGTAGTACGATTCGTAAGTGAACAACAAAACTGGTTAAAGGTTTCAAATATTGTATTTTCAACATGTTTCAACCTGTGAAATGGGATGATTCAACTGATGTTTGCACATTCAGGAGAGTTTTTCAACCACCAGCTAGTAGTAATGTCCCACCAAAGCCCAAAAACAATCCCAAGTTTTTCCATGTCCCATTATATGTATATAATATATATATACATATCATATTATATCCCATGATATTTACATATACCGTGGATATTAGTGGCCTCCAGTTCCCTTTGTGCAGGAGCCCGAGGGATTTGAGGAGACCGATGAGGAGGTGTTGGGTGAATCACCTGGGATTTTGAACCGGGGGATATGATTTTAGAGTAGTTAAGATACAATTATTAGTACTATCATAATTAATGATGTTAGCGTAGGATATATATGGATATATGATATCATATTAATCATATAATCATGTTAAGATACAATTAGTACTATCATATCAATTAATGACTACTCAGGGGGGATATATGATACATGATCATAATAAATATATCAAAATTGAATGATCATTATATATAAGATAATTATCATTCATTATCTAATATGCTTTAGATATGATTTAATGATCATCTCATGATGGAGACGATGAACTTCTTGGGATAATTTCATCAGACATAGTCCCTTTTTTTCGTTGAGCAAAACGGAGTCGAATTCCGGAGATGTTGTGAACATATTCATGAGAACATGTTCCTATTTAAGATAGCTATAGAACATGTCCCATTTAAAAGTTTCGTTAAGGATGATTTGGGTATGGGTCAAAATTAGGTACCCCAAAATTATGGATGGTTAATACTAAACTAGACATTCACATCTGTGGTCCCACATCGGTCTTCCATATTGATCCCATGACCCCATCCAGGTGGGTCGATGCTGCGCTGTTGCGCTTTTTCCTCCCCAGGATTGCATTGATTACAACATGTATTTTGTGACTTTCTCTAGCCATTAAAGACATTTATAGACATTTATAGACATTTCTAGACATTTCTAGACATTTATAGACATTTATAGACATTTACGCACTATAAAAGGAAAAATGTCTATAAATGGCTTTCGGAGCAAAATAAATACCTCGTTGACCTTACGCACTATAATGTTTTTTTTCATGAGCAAAGCAAAAAAAGATCGCCAGCATTTCGCCGGCCAGGTGCCTGGCTACGAGGTGCAGCGGAACGACCGTTTCGGTTTCGCGAAGTTTGGAAGTCATTTACCCTCTGGTAAACAGCCACAAAACTATGGAAAATCACCATTTTCAATGGGAAAACTCACTATAGATGGCAATTTTCAATAGCTATGTTAGTTTACCAGAGGGTAAGAAATGACTGAAATGAAAAGTGATCAACCTGAACTTAGCATGTTCTTTAGCTTTCATCAATTCTAAGAAACGTCTTGAACACATAATTATGAGATGAACGTGAATGAATAAGAATGAGTTTTCTATGTACATATGGTTGATAAATCAACAAAGACTTCTTGGAAGAATTACGACAGTTTGAACCTTTGGAAAACGCATGACATTTCAATCATTATCAACAATTATTATGATTTATAGTTAACTATTATTATCAACAGTGATTTACCACAATTAACCATTGCTAACCATTATTATTCCCAGGCGATGAATCGTTTGTGAAGTCCCCGAGTCACTGCTCGCCGGAGCTGCTCGCCGGAGCCAGGAGGAAGTTGACCCGCCGGCTGCGGAGCTGCTCAGTGGCATCAGCTTCTGCGGATGACTGGATTCGGGGAGGAACTGATGGGATTCTTAGTCCATGAGTGAAACATTGGACCAACAGTTAATTGTGGTTAATCACTGGTTAATCATGGTTAATCCCCCCAAAATGGGATTATCATGGCTTAATGATGGTCAATAATAGTTAATCATGGTTAATCACTGGTTGATAGTGGTTGAGGGAATCCCATAACTGGTTAGTATTCTTAGTCGGTTGAGCAGAAAACCACAAGGATTGGACCAGCTTCGAAGGTGAAACCACGACAGATGGGATACTGTACGAGCAAAGATGTCATGAAGCTTGGTGAATGGCACCCATATGGGGCCCCACAATGAATAGATTTGATATGAATCTAGATGTTTTGCGTATGAGATAGTGTGCAGGGATTAGTAAACAACATGAAACAACAATGGCATAGATGAGAAAACAGGCATTGGCCCTTTGTTAATGGCAGGGTCCAGAAATGGGGTTGGTCGATACACAGGGGATCTGAATGTTGACGAAATCATTATCAAATCCCTGGTTTTTGTTGATTGACTCCCATATGTTGTTGTTAAATTCTCAATTTCTGATGGTTTCGGATGGTATATCCCATTTCTGGTGAAATTATGTCAAATCATGTTAAATCCGCATTTCTGATGGTTATATCAGTTATAAATTAACATAGACCCTGAACATAGCCTAGTTTTTATGGAAACTCATCTTCCAAACCCGACAACTGCCAGGGTCTATGTTAATTTACCAGAGGGCAACCATCATGTTCTCTCCCAATTTTGCTGGCTGACCTCCCCACTTAAATTGCTGAACTCTGGCGTTGCCCAAGGCCGGCGCGTGAGGGGCAGCAGAACGCCAGGGCCTTCCTTCAGCGCGAGGTGGCCGTGACCGTTGGTGTCTTCGGGTTACCCTAGGAGTTCATGGGTGTTACATGGGAAGTCGTATGTAATCCCCCCAAAAATGGGATTATCATGGCTTAATGATGGTCAATGATGGTTCATCATGGTTAATAATCTGCTTGGTGGTTTGGAACATTTGGATTATTTTTCCATCTATTGGGAATAATCATCATCCCAACTGGTCCGAACTCCATCATTTTTCAGAGGAGTAGGTCAACCACCAACCAGATATATATTAGGAAGCCATGGGAGAAGTCATGGGATGCCTGGGAAGTAGTGGGAATATTTTTTTTTATGGGAATCATGGTGAATGATAAAGTCTGTGGTGAACAATTTTTGGGGCTCAGAATGCTTAATGATGGTTAATAATGGTGAACAATTGGATAATAATGGTTAATTAATACATGTTCATAATGGGATATTCAATGGGATTTAGCATCAGAAATGACGATTATCCACAGCTAATTACCAGATGGTAAAGACTCTAATGATAAGAGATCATAAAGGGATATAAAGGGCATGAAAATAAGACCGCACGATACTTTACGAATTGCTTTCCTATACTCTTTAGTTAACATCCAGAATCTTGCAGACAAAGACATGGCCCGTCTGTTTTATCCAACATAGATGTGGCTTTTACCATGTGTAGATAATTTTACTGGGAACCGCCGACCGAAACATGGTCCAAGATTTTTCACGCCAGGTGCCAGAGGCGGTGCGGGTCTTCGAGGATGCCGAGGTGCAACCATGGAGGGATTCACTGTGAAAATGGGATTGAGATAGTTTTTAAATGTTTTTAAGGACAATAACTGCTTAGTGGTTTGGAACATTTTTTATTTTTCCATAATATATAGGACAATCCTTCCCAACTGACTTTCACTCCATCATTTTTCAGAGGGGTAGGTCAACCACCAACCAGCAACAAAATGGATTAACAGATATTAACACCCACACTGGGAAGCTTTTTCCCATTCTCAACTACGACCATCCCACCTGGCTTCAAAAACCGATTGACCCTGTTTTTTTTCCCAAAAACAAGAAACAATTAACAAACTTTAATTTTGTGAGGATATCTGGCAAAATTAGGGGTCCACCAGATTTTCTCCCTGCAGACCACTTGGTCGGTGTCTGAAATGGGCAAACGCATGACGAAGTACTTCGTGGGAGGTCCGGGGGACCAAAAAAAGTTGTGCTTCGGCAGGGGTGATGGACCTGCAAAATCTATATCAAAATCTGGGAAAAAAAGAGACTTTGGACATGGTTTAAACTTCAGAATATGATGGCTAAAAACCACGGGTCAAACATGATTCTTCAGATAATTTTTGAGCAATTTATCTACTGGTAATGGGAATATCACGGGAATATCTTGATCAGAAAACAGAAATTTCTGATTGGTTGGTTCAACATGGTTCAAGGATGTTTTGATTTTCGAAATGGCATGATCATGGCGGCAATGATCCCAGCTAGCTATTGGTGCCCAGTTCGGTACCATAAACGACGCTTAGGATTGGAGGCATCATCCCAAAAAAAGACTCTTTCTGATATGTAAATGTTATATATATAATTCAGCCCATGATGATCAGCTTTTTATTGCTGGATTGTACTCATATTTCTGATTTGGGAATGAGTTTCCATCGTTTCCCCGTTTTTTTTTAAACGAAATTTCCCATTGCCAATGGATGGTATATCCCCGATGAATGTCCCATTAATGTCTCGCGGATTGATAATTAGTTTGCAAGATTGCGATTGATCTAGATCATCCGATATATACATATACACATAATATATATATATATATGTAATTATGTGTATAATATATATATATATACATACAGTATATAAATATATATACAGTATATATTTATACATACTGTACATATATATATATGTACATAGGTCAACGCCCTGTACCCATGGTGAACATTGGTGAACATGGAAATAGCCGAGCTGGTGGTTCTGGATGTTCATTTGTCCAATTTTGGGATTTCATAGGTATTGACCCACACTCATAATTCATGGACTATATCAACTACAGTATCTCCCATTTTTGGTTCAAAATCCCATATTGTATCATACTTGGGGGTGTATACGTGGATTTTCTTCATAGTCAAAATGGTCCCCCGTCTCCCAACTGGTCTCTGTAACTAGGCTGACCTTGATGGCGAATATATCATACTATATCTATGGTTAGCTGAGTTTACCAGCTGGATTTATAAACCAACAAAGGTTGCTTTGGAATGGTAGCGTCCAAGTCTTTTTACAAAGGCCTCTCTGCAGCAGCCGAGAAGCGTAGCGACTGGAGAAGCAGTGGCAAGAGGCTGGAGTCCCAGCACCGGGGCTTCAGCAATTTTTGTTGGGGGAATAGATGGGATTATCATGGCTTAATGATGGTCAATAATGGTGAATCATGGGTTTCACAATGGTTGAAAATGGTTAATCATGGAATATATGGAAACTGATTGCTGGTGTGGAACATTTGGATTATGACTTTCCAGAAAGAGTTGGGAATTTCATGATCCCAACTGACGAACTCACTCCATCATTTTTCTGAAGGGTAGGTAGGTATACCACCAACCAGGAATGGTCGATATCAAATGACTAGATGATTTGGAATTTGGGGCTACACGGCTACGAGTTGGAAAGCTCCAGGTAAACAAAAAAAACTCTCCGGGGATGATCACAATCAGCAAAAACTTTTCCAGATTTGCTGACATGGGAAATCATGCTAGGAAAATATGGTGTTATCGGATATACAAAATCTGTTCATCAATCTTATCACTGCGGAAAAAACACACCAATTTCCGATCCGGTCATGAGTTGGTGAGGCCGCATCCCAGAAGACCACGAAAAAACGGGAACCGTTTTTTTCTGCAGATATCGTGCTGTTTTTTGTTGCTGAAATTTTATTTTTTTTACAATTCAGCACAGCAAATTGCTCAAATCCAAAAACTGGTTGATGAAATCCTCGTTGTGCCTGAAATCAGGCTCAAATCTTCTAATCATCGGGCTCAAATCCTTATTTAATCCATGTCAGATCTCCATGGATTGTTTCCTTGAAGTCAAACTCCCACAATCCCAATGTTTCTTGAGATGAACACCTCTCAAACTCGGCACATATTCAGGTCCACTCCCAACTTCTTTTCAGAGCAATTCCATCAAATCCAGCTCAACTTTGAAAAACAAAGTCAATTTCTCTTGGTTGAAGCTCCAATTTTGGGTTTTAACTTCCCCAGAGATGTTTTCCCAACTTTTCCACGTTTGAGGTTCCTGGAGAAGGGCATCCGGTCCTTCACCAACGCCTGCGGCAGCCGCAAGTGGTTCAACGATGCAGCACCTCGACGAGGGATTTTGGTGGGATTTGATGATGATTGATGGTTACCTATGGTTACCTCACAGTCAATGGGCGATTTTTTACCCGTGACATGGGTACCTTTCTTTTGGTAACTGGAACCCCAAATTTTGATGGTTATCCTATGGATGGGCCGTTGCGAAATCCAGTTATCACCAGTTGAAAACAGTGGTTTTTAGATCCCATAAACTTCAAAAAGGGTTGAAAAAGCATCCCAAAATTGGTGGTGTATCGGATTTCGCAACCAGAGGTGATGCACCTTATAATCCCACGAACTATAGATATTGATATATCCAAAAAATATTATGATATATCATGATATATCACCTATAAACCATAGTTATTCACCTATAAACCATAGTTGTTGTGGTGAGAAATCTGATGCTCATTTTCCCTATTCAGGTTGCAAGAGAGGGTATTGTGTCTACCCGGACAGAGCCCAGAACTGCCCAGGAAGAGGTCCTGAAGCCCCTCTTGGCCCATGCCACTTGGGAAGTGGTGCAGGAACGAGCCGAGCGAAGGGTGAAGGATTATGACACATTGGTATATTACCCTCTGGTTATTTAACATAGCCATGGAAAATGGCCCATTTATAGATGATTTTCCCATTAAAACCTCCATTTAAAAGGGGTTTTCCATGGCTATGTTAAATAACCAGATGGTAATATATGTATATATATATACATAATATCTAATTGTGATTCGTAGTGATTATTAATGATTAATTGGATTATGGTATAAGATGATTATTATGAAGGATTATAAGCTTAGATTGTATATCTAATGGTGATTCATAGTGATTATTAATGATCAATTGGATAATTTTCATGGAATGGTGATGAATCTGGGCAAATTATAACGACCTCACTGTTCTCCATCACTGGAGTCATGGTTAATTTTTGAGGAATCATGCCAAAAAGGCTGCAAGTTTCAGGTTAGTGAATTATTATAATTTGCCCAGATATATGGTATGTAAATGGTATGGCACATGGTTTAATGGGATTATGATAAATGGATATAAATGGTATATACATATATGGTATAGTTACCAATTTCTGCTATGGTAACCATGGTATATATTAATTATATACATTGGTTAATGGATGTGAATGGATGTATAGTTGGAATAGGAAGTGAATATTCATTTAGTATTGGTATAATGAGTATGTAAAGATTTAATACATGGCTATGGTATTTTTTTCCCCCTTTTTAATCATATGACGTGACTGCAGAATTTGGATATCATTGGACCTTGAGAAGTCTCAACTGATAGCACAGGTCGAATGGGTCAATCCGTTTTTGGGTTCTTTGATTCTTATATGGGGGCCATAAATCGGGGTACCCCAAAATATCCCAAAATGGATGGTTTATTTCCTGGACACTCCCAATCTAAAATGGATGATTTGGGGGTACCATTATTTCGGAAACCTCCACATGTTTATGTGTTCCATTGAGTCTGGGTATAATTTGGCAGTCATTTTAAGAAACAATTACCAGTGCCAAGTAAATCTATGTAACATGTTGAGTCGGAATTGGGTGAATGCCAATGGGTACTAACTAAGTAGCAACATAAACGCGAGTGTTATCCATAGATACAAAGATGTGTAGTTTATTCAACCACTGATTTGGAACTGTCAATGATGATTTGAAGCATTGTTACAAGGATGCCGCACAATACATGGAAAGTGCAATCCAGCAAATATGGGGTGAATTGTTCAAAATACATCTCTAAGGGCGCAAAAGAGAAAAGGCTTGGATCTGAATAAGCGACAAAATGGCTTTGATGGTGGCAATGGAATCAACAAATATCTGGCTGAAGCATGGTCCAACTGAAACGCTTGCTGTGATCAAAAAAATAACGGGGATCTTCACCGACACAAATTGAATTTTAACGATGAAAACAGGGATTTGAGCAGTTTTCCCATGATTCTTGAGGGAAAATCCACACTTTTCACTGCAAACTGCCTGATTTTACCATATGTTTCCCCATTTTTCCCTCATTTTTCCCATGTTTTTTTATTTTTCATGGTTTTTTCCCGAAGGTTTCCCCAAGGTTTGACCATGTTCCTTTTCGGTCGTCCTGGTCGTCGCAGGACTGCGAGAACGCGTATGAGGCGACGGAGGAGTTGACTCGAGAACTGGTGGATGAGGCGAAAAAATGGCGGGGAAAGTCACGCATAGGTGGATTGGTAGTGATGATTAATCTAGGTAAATTTCATCACGACCTCACTGTTCTCCCTCACTGGAATCATGGTTAAAGGTGATTAAATGGTGATTAATGGTGATTAATGATGATTAATAGCGATTACCCTCTGGTAAACTAACATAGCTGTTGAACATGGCCATAGAAATAGTGGATTTACCCATTAAAAATGGTGATTTTCCATAGCTATGTTAAATTACCAGAGGGTAATCGTGATTAATAGTTACTGGATTGTTAATGGATGATTATCAATGATGGATTGTTAGTGATGATTATTAATGATGGGTTAATAGTGATTAGATGGTGATCATATAATGGTGATGAATGGTGATTGATAGATGATTAATGGTGATTAATGGTGATTACTGCAGTAGTAATGAATATTAATGATAGATTAATGGTGCTTAATAGTGATTTAATGGATGATTGATTAATGTTGATTAATAGTGACAACCATTTTTGATCATTTGTGTATCATGAATGCTGGACATTTCTCAGAATGGTGGAAATTATCAGTGAGGATAATTAATGATTAATGGATGATTAATCGAGAATTATCAATGATGGATTGTTAGTGATGATTATTAATAATGGATCAATGGTGATGAACGGTGATTAGTAGTGATCATCGATCAATGGTGATTAATAGTGACAACCATTTTTGTATCATTACTGCTGGACATGTCAAATGGTGGAATTTATCATATGTCATCATGGTGAAATTTATAAGATTCATAATGAAAAACAACTGGATACCCTCTGGTGAACTAACATAGCAATGGAACATCACCATTTTTAATGGGAAAATCCACTATAAATGGCAATTTTCAATTGCTATGTTAGTTCACCAGAGGGTAATGGAATTTCACCGGTAAACAAGAAGAGATTCCCACGTGCAAAACCTCACCATTGTCATAATGGGTTAACAATGGGTTTTGTTCCTGGGACCTACAGTAATGGAATATAATCCGATATATATATACATACAAATATGCTGCGAAATATACGCAACATTACAACAATAATGATGAATGTGACATATGTGTGTGTTGTATATATATATATCCACATAATATTATGTATATAGGCATACCAACCCAGCCTCAATATTGTATAGCAATACCTATAGCAATAATATCTATGGTCATATCTTACATAATTCCATCATTGAACGCTAACCCAAATTGAAGATATCCAATATTAAGCCATGAGTTTCTGGTGGTATTTGAGTTTAAGGGGAATGGATTAACATATATACATAGTAATGTAGTCTATAACCATTACAATCTTAGTGATATGTGGGGTTGATCAATGGCTAGTGTGGTTTATGAGTAACCATGTAAGGTGGATTTATGTGGGGTAGTGGCCAGAAGAACGGTTAGCATAATATAACGATAGTAATCTCAGTAATGAAGGGTTAATCTGGAGACTAATTCTTGATGGTCATTATAGCCTTGGAAATATAACATAATATCACAATAGAACACAACATATCACAAGATAATGACTATATACTGCAAAACTACAATAATATTTTTTCGAGATTGTTTGTTAGTAGCCACTATCATCTTAGTAATATATATATTATATTATATTATATCATATTATATTATATCATATTATATTATATTATATTATATATACATAGTTATTATAGCCATCTTCAATGAACCTATAATTTGGTGATATTATCCATCGGAGTATACTTGATCTCCAATCTGGGGCTGGATGGATATGGATCACCGGGATCACCGCGGAAGGGCCCAGAAATAGTTGATTTACCTGGAATTTACCTATTCAAAGCTGTCTAGTTCGCAAACTGTAAACGTTTACCAGAGGGTTTTTGTGGTGAGTTCCCATCCAATATTACCAGTGAACATTCGCAAAAACACGATGGGTCCCATCTACTGTCCGAATCGCCACTAAGACGGCAGGCCTACTTGGACATGTGGGAGTACCAGAACTTCGATGTGGGAACTGTCGGAACTGGGGATGGAGGGAGCGATCGAACCGATTTCGGTCGTCAAAGTCGACCATCTCCCGAAAAATTTGATGCGATGAACTAACACAGCTATTGAAATGGATATGAATATTAATGGTAATGTAATATCAATAGGTATTAACTACACCATCACAGCTGATTTACCTATTCAAATTGAAGACATGGTGATTTTCGCTATGTAACAGTATTTTTGGTGGGTATTTCATGATATTCCAAGAATATCCCACGATATCCCACGTATATGGTAAAATCTGTCATCTATTAAAAAAAAAAGGTCCCCAGAAGGATGCTGAAACGTGTTTCCAGGATTCATTCGATGATGTTTTCCTCCATCATTTCCAGCTATCCAACAAGAATCTGTCGACTGAGGGTTGAGATATAGTAACGATATGGCAAATATCCCCAAGGGATTCGTAATGATCATAGCGATGATAACCATATTCGAATCTTCTACCAAATAGCACTAAATACATCTAAATACTATAATGGTAAAAAAACGATCATCATGCCCTTTTTTAACAATAAGAATCATCATATCCCACATGATGTTCCCATTATGTGATGCAAACATTGGTCTGGGTGGATCCACAATGTTGTTTCGAAATCCTGGAGGGTTTATATCCTAGATATCATCACCTAGACATCACGATGTCGCGAACATATGCGAAAATGAAGAGCCACCAATAACAATAAGATCTTTTTTTCGCAAGATAACATCCTGGAGAGGCAGTTTCGTATGGTATGGTATTACCGTGTTTTTTGCCTATGCACATGGATACGAGGGGTGGTAATGCAATCTGGCGCCTATAATCATTTGTCAATATCTACTTGTACATATCAATATCCTAATAACCATCATGCCCAATAAAAGATAAGAGTAACAAGAGTCATCATCATACCGTTTCTCCCATGACTTTGTATTTCCATTGTGATAATGTGAATGACATACTATAGATAATATACTATAGATGTACCATATATATGATACACTATATATATACATACTATATATATATACTATTTATACTATTTATACTATTTATACTATTTATACTATTTATACTATTTATACTATTTATATTATTTATACCATTGGGATTTTCATAGCTATACATAGATGGGAAAATATGGTGGTTGATATTTTCCCATTTTACCTTTAGATGTACCGTATAGATATCACCTGGGCGTCGCGCAGGTTGCGGTGCAGGACGCCGTGCGCCGATCCTTCAAGGACCTGAGCGGACAAATGCAGCAGAAAGTGTCGCGGATCCCAGGGATGGGAAAATCCATGGGAAAATCCCATGGGTTTTTTCTGAACTTGGCAATTTTCCCATGTTTTTATGATAAATTGCTATGGTAATCTGGTAATCCTATGGATTTGTAATATTTGGATATGGTGTGTTGAAGCTATTAAATCTATGAGATATGGTTTATGAAATAGGAAAAGGTTCAACTGAACATTTTTATATGCGTGCTGTATTTGGGTCTGAACATGTTTTTTTTACGCATTTTACCAAGTGGCAATTGAATAGTAGGGAACATTATGACAAATCAATTTTGGGGAGGGAGGGTATCTATCCATGGCAATTTTCAAGTGCAATCCTTTCCGAACGATGTCGGGGTCAACGCAGAAAAACACATCCACAGAGCGAGAAATCTCACATGGGGATGGGTCGAAACCAAAACTTACCATGTTTTTTTTTGAAGAACTCATCGATAAAGCCAGAAATTTGGGGGTACCATGCTGCGACCAGGGTTTTTGACTCATAGCCGTCATAGCTACGTTGGATACTGTGGATGGCAGGGTAACAGAAAAAAGTGTGGCCCAGGACTTACCTTTTGGAGGTTTGTTGGTGGTTGGTAAATGGGGGGGATCCCAAGGTTACCAAGACACCAAAGAAACTTCATGGGCAATTTTCAAGAATCTCCATGTAGCTTTTTCATCTTTTTCCCTTGTGACGGTTCCGTCGTTTGTCTTTACAAAGATAGTGCATCGAATCAGAATCAGAACCAGTGATCCCATTTTTGAACCAGAAAAAACTGCAATCCGGTGGGAATTGGTCAATGTGTCAATCCGGAAAAACGGTCATTCTGAAGATCTGAAGAATTGCTTTGCCGCAAATTCCGCCACAACATGTTCGATGATGTTCCCAGCTATATATAAACCTTCAGCATAGCTGGGGAGCTTCCCAGCTATTTCCCAGCTATCCTCCATTTCTAGATGATTTTCCCATCATTTAGAGATGTTTCCATTACTGTAAAAACATGTTTTTCCCATTAAAACATAATAAATCCTATTATATAAAACATAATAAATCCTATAACGGGAATCATATAAATCTTATATATTTCCTATTAAAACATAATAAATCCTGTTAACATAATAAATCCTAGAATGGGCATCATATAAATCTTATATATTTTCCCATTAAAACATCAGAGATCCTATGAACCTTCAGAATTTGATGGGTTTTCGATCATCCAAGGATGCAAGCGCTCGCGAGGACCCATCAAGGTGTCAGGGAATCAGCTATAAGATCCAGAACAGATAAATTAATGGGAACATCAACATTTACCCTCTGGTTATGACTAACATAGCCATGGTAAAGCCACGGCTCATTTACAGTCATGATTTTCCCATTAAAACCTCCATTTATATGGCTTAAATCATCTACAAATAGAGAATTTTATGGGACAATGTCAGACAAATCATTCTCAATGGAGCATGATGATTGCCGGTAGATGCGATATACGGATTGGAAAATGATGGGTTCAGTGATGATAAGCCACTGGATTCTGGGGAGGTACTGGATATGTACTAGGGCCATCTAGATCATCTAGGGCCTAGTTTCTTTCTGGATATCCAATCAACCAACAAGATATAACAATAGATCATATTATTTGCGTTTATCACGGTTTGTCTCGATGTGGGGTGGCCCTAGCATTTTCTGCTTGGTTGAACAAAATGGGGTCACCCGAAAATTCAACAACCAATAGGTCAAGGATGATATATGGTAACCTATGGTATTCCAAAATTGGTGTCTCTATTTGTCCAAGCGCACATGTTTGGATGTTATTTGAATTTGTCGATCTTTATGATGACTCCCATTCAATACAACTGACCACGTCTTCATGATAGTTTGTGTCCACGATGTGTCCACGTCTTCGATGACAGGGTTATCCAACCAGAACAAGAATTGGGATTCTCTGGTGGATGGTTTGGTCGGCTTGGGTTGACCATACCCCCCCATGGATCATCTAAGGCCAGAGCACAGGACTGAGATGACCATCCTCGTGATTTGAATGGAATTTCAAAGGCTTTTGCAAGTATGCTATTGAAATTCATATATATATATATACATATATATATACATATATATATACATATATATATATATATTAATATAAATATTAATATATATATATATACATATATATATATATTAATATAAATATTAATATATATATATACACGATATTAACAGAATATGAAGCATGGTATATACTGATCATCAACGCCATCTCCAACGTTGCCGTTACGACAGGGGCCGAGAAGGAGAGCGCGGTGGAAGGCAACTTGTTGCGGCAGATCGAGGCGGATCCGGCGGATGATCCGGCGGATTTGGATGGATGGATCGTTTTTTTTTAAACGGATGGGAGGTTAATGGTGATTAATGGTGGTTATTAATGGCTAATAGTGAATTAATGGTGATTACCTTCTGGTAACTTAACATAGCTATTGAATAGCTGGCCCATAGAAATAGTGGATTTACCCATTGATAGCATGGTGATTTTCCATAGCGGACTGTTAGTTTACCAGAGATAATCAGAAAATATTGGAATAGACTATATATATACACACTGTATTGGCTAACTTACTGTAATATGGAAAACTTATATTGGCTAACTTATATATAAATGGTATAAGGTTGGACTTTTTGGACTTGCAGATTGAGATATCAGAACATATATGAAGAAAATTCGGTTTTCATGATTTTCATGTGTGATTTTCCATGATGGTTTACTGGACCAATGGGTTGTTTTTGATTCGGATGTAGCAAATCCCCAGTCCCAATCATTGGAATCCCTATACAACCAGTTTCACATCCCCAACCAGCAATCATTTGCCCTGAAAGAATGCATGAAAAATCAAGTTTTTCATATGGCTTTGTCTGAAAATAGGCTATTATTATATATTATTATTATTATGTTGTACATCTATGCCAACCTGTACATCTATTATTATTCTGTTGTACAAAATAGGCTACTGTACCTGAAAATCCAATGATCTTCATATTCCTTTCTGGAATGGCCATTGGAATCTGAGTATCAACCGACATTTCACTTGTGTGAGGCCTTGAAGTCTGGTTCGTCGTCAACCTGTTGGTGAAACCCATATCTTGGTTGATGTTAGTTGCATTCCTGGATGAATCTATTGAACTAATTATAATGTCAAGTTTCTGTTGGTTAGACTCTGGGTAAAAACTGGTCATTTTGGCTGAATCCACAGAAATCTCAGGGTACAGTCTCCATTTTTGTTGGTTGAATTTCCTTTTTCATGGGGTTCATCCCCTGTAACATGTTTTTATTGGCAAGAAATCATTTTTGATGGTTAAAATATGATAAACTTTCTAATTGTTGCCGGTGAAATAGATTTTGTGTGGTGAAATGCCAGATTTTTGTTCGTTGAATCAGTTGAATCCCTACTTTTTATATTTTATAGATATTTCATGTTGCACAACTAATGAACAATTCAATGTCCGATGGCTTTCAGCAACATCACTGACAAGACCACGATGGTTTTCCATGGTTTTCCCATGGGTTTCTACTGGTTGAAGCCTCCATTGGTTGGTTCATTTCGTTGCGCCAACCAGGTGTTTACAGAAACCTGGGTGAACCAAAGCATGGACCGCGCCTGCACCATGATCAACTCGGAGCGGGTAATTTTACGATGTGGGAGTGGGAGGATCATGTATAATATATAATGTTGTTGTTGTCGTTGTTGTTGATGATGATGATGATTAATTATTGTTATTGTTGTCATTGTTAATATTCTTGAACATATTGCTGTCATTGTTTTTATTATCATTGTAATATTTGGATTGTACTTGTACCTGGTAGAATATGATTATTTCAGCCACTCATGATATTATCATGGTAAGTATTCTATAATCAACATATTAATATTATATATATAACCAAACTGACCCATCTATCATCAGAATAGTACTGGTTGGTGGTTTGGAACATTTGGATTTTCCAGAAACAGTTGGGAATGTCATCATCCCAACTGACTTTCACTCACTCCATGATTTTTCAGAGGGGTAGGTTGAAACCACCAACGGTGTCATCCATCCATAGGGATGACTGTCTCACCATGGCACCCATGGCACAGCGATTGAGCGATTGAATGGTGGTTTAATCGAGTGAAAGGTTGGTGATGAGGTGATAAACTCATTGTGAATGGTTGGTTTTTCAGCAACAAAAGATGGTGAATTGACAAAAGACAAGTGAGAATTACCACCTAAAATTCGAATATCACGAAGACATGACGGGGACACTACTACTTCAACATTTAAATATTCGTAATTACCATACTACCCAGCTAGACAGAAAGGATACCTTGCAGGGTATTTTTCTTAGATTTGATTGCGTAGGAACCGGAGAGTTTAGTACTAAGAATGGTTGAACTCATGGGGTTTCCTGCATCTATGCATGGTACCTTCGACTACAAGTGGATGTATTTCATCCTACTTATGTAGAGGTTATAAAATATGAAGGTTTCCGAAGATATGGGTATCCCTAGGTCATCCCATTTGAAAATCTGGGATGTTCCATTCTAAATCATCCAGCTGGGTATCCGGTATTCCTTAGGATGCCAACATAATATGTATATATAATGTATACATATATACATATAATATCATATATATATATATGTATATGTATATATATATGTATATATATTTATACATATATATATATATATATATATACATATAATAGATCATATATATGTGTGTATATAGATGTTACCCTCTGGTAATTGAACATCGCCATATCCCTATGGAGATCATCAGCTCCCGATCCATCCCGAAAGTCCAGGAGTTGCTGGACGAGGAGACCGTGGTGCAGCTCTTTCGCTTCCTGCTCCATCCGGACGGCCGTGCGGACGGTGTTGTGATAGCTGGTGCTTGGAGACGAGGGTTTCAAAAGAATTTTTTGGGATCTTGCAAAATGTGGTTAAGAGTGGTTAATAGATGTTAATAGTGGTTCATACTGGTTAAACAGTGGTTAATAGTGGTTAATAACTGTTAAACATGGTCAATTACTGTTAATCATGGCTAAATGGATGTCAATCATGGGGGATCCCCAGTCGTCACCATAATTGTTTCAATACGAGTCGGCATGGTCATTCATGATTTGAATGATTTGGGGGTACTCTCCTGACTTAGGAACCCCCCATATGTCAACATCTCTGTTCTTTCTTGAGCCCCTAGTATTCTATACCCTCTGGTAAACTAATGTAGCTATGGAAAATGGTCATTTATATATGATACAACCATTGGTGATTTTCAGTAGCTAGGTTAAATTACCAGAGGGTAAGTCACTGCTATCCTTCCAGCCGTTTCAACATGTTTCAACCGACGGTAGAATTGCAGGGTGAAACTTCTCACCACTGTGGCAGATGCTCTGAAGGAAACACCAGTAAATCCCAGAAAAATCCCATTCATCTGCATAAAAATATATAAAAGTCGATTGAACATTGCATCAGAAATCCCAGTTTCTGAACAGTCAATTCTTATCAGTTCTCCATTTGTCTTCTTGTTTCCATATGTTTTCCATGTTTTTTTCATGAATTTCCCATGGTTTCTCCATGACCTTAGTATATTTTCATGATTTTCGGTGCTTTCTCCGTCAATCCTCGGCACCAGGAGTTCTCCAAGACGTACTCCTGCGTCCCCGCTTCGCTTCGGAAGAACGGCAGGCGGCATCGCAATGATCATGGTGGGAGGATACAACTCACCATATGGATATACTGGGAATAGATACCGTTTGAATGGTTATAAATCAAACAACCCATCATTATCCCATGATAGAAATCAGCTTTGTGAAATATTGTTCAGCCAAACAGACCTGAATAATAGTTTGTTTCCCTTCAGTAAATTACTACAGACCCTGCCAGATAGGGGTTGGAAGATTAATTTCCACTAAGAATGAATTATTTTCAGGTTTAAGTTTTATATGTGATAATTTACCCGAGGGCAACATATTAGCAAATAAAAAATGTCGTTGCCGATAAAATATTTTTGATAACATCCAAGATTTTATATCCTATGAATATCATTTTAATAACAATTTATATCCTCCCATTTGTCCAGGATTTTCCGCCTCAGGTGTCATCAAATCAGCCTCGATGATCCCATCAATGGATTGGTTTAAGGGAAACATTACCCTCTGGTTATTTAACAGTTTGCCATGGAAAATCACCATTTTTAATAGGTAAACCATCTATAAATGGGCCATTTTCCATGGCTATGTTAAATGACCAGAGGGTACATGAAAGCTGAAAGCCCCATTTAATGGGACAATCTATATACCTGTATAGTTTTTAACTTAAACCAATCCATTGAAGTAAGCAACATCCAACACTGTGATACTTGTTTTTTTTGGTTTTCGGAACATGGGGAATACCAAATACCCCAAAGTTATCCAATGTTGCACTTTTTTCATGATACACAATGCAATTTTGTGGTGCCCCATTCTGAAGACAAAGCCAAGTGAGTAAACCTTGGCGAAGGATGAATGACTATCCAACCTAAAGTTAGCTTTGTAACATAAATGGGCTTGCCCCATGCTTGTCCAAAATGAGATAACCCAACAAAACAATTGTTTTACCGTCATCTTTGCCGTTAGAAAGGCAATGACCAACCATTAATCCATGTGGTTTAAAAAGGGTCCCCTTTTTGAGACAAGCCACAAATTTCACATGCAGTCCAAATGATGGTCCAAAAGTTTTTTTTTTTCCAAAGCAACATTCCAAAGGGAATTCCATTCCTGATCCAAAATCGCACGTGTTTTTGGTGAACATGTTAGATCCAGGGGCCGAGTACGCCGGCAAAGCGAAGGCTAGGTGAAAATTGATGGGTTCATTCGTTGAATCCCCAGTGTTGGTGGGTGAAATTCCGGTCAAATCCCCCAATTTTCATTGCTTAAGAACTCTCTGAGTTGCTGAAAAACATTGTGGTCGGACTGGTTTTTTTCTGGACTCCGAACTGGATGATGCGGGCAGCGTCCATAGATGGGGTGACTGACCATTTATAGATCTTCATAACTCATGGGTTTCTATAAATGGTCATGTTTATAAATGAGTTTCTATAGAAAAGTCATAGTGATCCCATTTACAGATCATTTTCCTATCTATTTTTCTGGGGTGATTTTTCCCATCGCTGGCTCCACATCCCAGGCCGCCTCGGGGTTGGAAGTTCTTGCGCCCCTGCGTGCAAGAGATGCTGCGCCGCTGGGCCGATGCCCAAGGTGTTGCACCCAATCGAGGTGGCCAAACGAAAAGAGAAAATTTGGCGGAATGGCGACCAACTTGGTAAGTGAGATGGATTCCGATTGATGGGATGAGCATGGCAGATTCTGGTAGATCTATATACTTGTTGGATCTTGTTGGATTTTCTCTCAAGCAACAAACAGAACTGCACCCAGTTGACGGATTTTTTTTTGGCTTTATCCAACTGTTGAGAAACCCAACCAAACAAAGAATCACCACTACTGTACGTCTTTCAGAACTGGATTTTACGGATTTTTCTTTTTGTCATTTTTGAGTTTCTATACAACAATCATTTGTCTAGCAAAATATGGAACAACCTAGATAACATGACTGGTTGGTGGTTTGGAACATGAATTTTATTTTTCCATTCAGTTGGGAATTTTATAATCCCAACTGACAAACTCATATTTTTCAGAGGGGTAGGCTCAACCACCAACTAGATGAGAATGTGGGACCAGCAATCTTTGAGGATTTAACGAGCCATGGGGGTATTTCACCAGCAAGCTGCAGGAAGTCATGCAGGAAAAGCCGAGTAATCCTGGGAACGAATTTGGTTCATGGAAAATACGCCTCATCTATACATACTACTGTATATTGCATATACATATATAGATTTATGATCTATGGATAGATCAGTAGATACTGGAGTAAGATTCTATCCGAATACATGTCCAAAGTACCAAAACATATAAGACACATATAATACAGATATACAGTAAATATATAACATATATAAAATTATATACTTACAATTCTGTTTATATACAACAATATCACCAGATAAATGTGGATTCCGATTCTTCCAATGTATCAAGCCTGCCAGGCGAGCGCAGAACCTCGCGAAGTCCGGGCCGCCCTTTCGTGCGCAAGCGGCAGATGCCCTCGCAATTGCGGGAAAGGCCGCGTCGTCGCGTCGGGTGAACGAAGTGGTTTAATGGGTTTTTTTAGTGGTTTAATGGGATTTATAGTGGTTTAATGGGGTTTTATAGTGATTCAATGGGATATTAATGGGATATACCCTCTGGTTATTTCACATTTCCATGGAAGCCATGGCCCATAGAAATAGATGGTTTGCCTATTAACAATGGTGATTTTCCATGGCTATGTTGAATAACCAGAGGGTACCCTCTGGTAAATTGAGATAGATGTGGAAAAACTCATCATTTTTTAGTCGATTATTTGATCATCATTTTCCTAAGGAAACCATGTGATTACCAGAGGTTTTTTTGATGTTTCATCGTTCATCATGGTTTTTTTGGGGCCCCATGGGCCCCAACTTCTGGAGGTCACCACTGTGGGGATGAATCCCTGCAGATGGGAAGATCAGAAGCGGACCTAGACCTAGACCAATGGATCTTCCAAGAGAAATGCTTGGTGAATTGATTGGGAAGATCATACTCATATCACATCATATGATATGGGAACTATGGGAACTTGTGATATTAAGTATTGGTCCATATATGTCCATATGATATGGGAATTTGTAACCAATACTCATGGGCTGCGTCTGAAAATGGGAACCTGTCATAACCTGTCGAATTGCCATACCCGAATTGCCTGGAGGCTACGAGTTCCTTCCGATGATTCGCAGACAGAAATGCCATCAACGATTTCTTCCAAGACAATCGTCAGACAATTTCCGGAATATTTTCATGAGTTTAGGGGATGGCACAAGTTTATCTCGGAATGATACCATCTGGTTATTTAACATAGCCATGGAACATCACCATGCTATTAATAGGCAAACCATCTAAACCATCTATTTCTATGGGCCATCTATACCATGTATTTAACATAGCCATGGAAGCCATGGCCCATTTATAATATAGTTGATTTTCCCAGCTAGAAACCTCCATTTATGGTTGGGATTTTCCATGGCTATGTTAGTCATAACCAGATGGTATTATTGGTTTCGAGATCTAACTATGTGGCATGACCCATGGGTACCCAGGTGACAGCGCTCCGACGAGTTGTGCAGTCGCAGCACGCCGGTTTCGGTCCGAAAAGTCGACCGTCCGGGACGGGACGGAGGGCGATATGGTCCTGGGATGAATGGTGATGTTTTAGGTGATTTTTCATGGGATGAGTATTATAATGATAGTGATTATAATGATTATATGGTGATATATGAGTACTAATAATATTAGTACTATAATATGGTGATATATGGTGATATTACTATTTAATCCCATATTATATTATTAATAGTATATCACCATTTCATGCGTATTATATTATTGGTGATTATATACTAGTTATTAATGGGATGAGGAACTAACAAACATGATTATAGTGATTCATAGTGATTAATGGGATGAGTATGACTAATAGTTATATACAATTATAGTGATTGATAGTGATTGATTAATAGTGATTATTAATGGTGATTTCACCATCAAATGTTGATGGAGGATTGGTTCATCGAGGATTTTCCAAGATGGGGAACATTTTGTGTCAGAAATAAAGTTGTTTAGTGTTATTTCCAACGGATGGTGTTTTTTCATGGAGGGTATTGAACCAAACTAAAAAAATCAAAACGTGTGGATGTTTAAACAACCGAACAGATTAGTTTGGAGAAATCTTTTGTGGGGTTTTGTTTGGTTTACTCCTTGACAGCAGGGGACAATGAACAATGCTCCCTGGCTGTAGCAGTAGAAGTGCAACGATAGGGCTTTAACACCCAACGATGGGGATATGGTAATATCATAATCTACAACCGTGGGAGGGTAAACACCACTGGAAAAGAGGATAGTGACCAGCTTGTTGGCCGAGCCTCTTTTACACGATGGAAACGATGGTTGAGACAAGGGTTGATACTTGGGAAAGCAGCAACGGGTCTGTAATCCAGTTCGGAATTTGCTTGACACTTTTCAGCTTTGTCGCTCCGGAGGATTCAAATGTTTGTGATGTTTGTGGATCAAACTTGGGTACCTTCAATTTGGATAGTTTACAATTAAAACAATTAAACTTGGGCCAAAGTCAGTGGGTGTCTTAAGCTTTCACCCATCCCCACATCCCAAATTCCCAACTCCGGCGTCAGAAATGGACGCCGAATCACTTGCAGCAGGGAATAGTCGAGGGATCTGCCACCAAGTTACGATTCACACCACATGCGGACTTGATCTGTGGATACCAGAGGAGTTGCTAAACGAAGGGAGTTTCTGGGGATGTAGCCTCCTGTAAACTAACATTGACATAGAAAATCTATCATTTTGGATGGAAACCCATAAATGTCCAAAAGCTAGAGTAGTTTACTGAAGGGTATCACATTGAAGAAACCAGCACCCAATCACATGGGAAATCTAAACGATGTAAACTCTCTGATGACTGTTGGAATAAAGGAGCAAGAGCATCAAAAACTGGTTCACAGCGCAAGATGTTGATTCTTGGAGATGGGCACTTTTTACAATTTGAGGTTCGAAGTCTTCCGGGACTTACACACGATGTTGCCGTCGGGCTCGAGATCTTCACTTTGTCATGAACTTTTGGGGTTTGCAGTGCCGCATTCCTAGGGAGACTGATTATGGCTGATTTATGATGATTTAAGATGTGTGAATCTTGTTGTCACCGTTACCCTTTGCTTATTTAACATAGCTGTTTGGAAGATCACCAGCTTTTTTTTTAATGGGTAAATCATCATAAAAAAACATCTATTAATGGGCCATGGCTTTCATGGATTTGTTAAATAAGCAGATAGAGTTCATATAACGATCAAAAATTGCCAACAATCTTAGGTGGACTAGTGGACAAGTAACCACCACTGTTGGACCTGATGTGAGGTTGTCTCAAACATTCGAAGCCCAACATCCAATAGATACAACCATATTCCATCGATTCACCCATGATGTCCTTTACATGTGTATGTATCAAAAAAATCGTTCAAACATGGGTAAAAATACTTCAAATGACATCTGCATATATACTATATATATATATATCAATATATATGGTGCAGCGTTGGCCACCACCCCCCCCCACCACCAATGGGTATGGGTCTACAGTATCCTCTGGTTCTTCTGGCCCCCCCCCCCCCTGTGGCCTGTGGTGGTCCCCCCCCCCTGTGGACTGTGCTGGTGGTATGTATCTATCTTTCTACAAGCGCTAGCGTTAAGTCGTATCAACTTGTAAAAGTCGTATCGGGAGGCCGTGCGCCTGGAAAAAGTTCAAGTTTGGCATCACCACAACTTTTAGTAATTGAACGATTTCATTGTTTGGGGCCGTGCGCCTGGAAAAAGTTCAATTTTTGTATTGCGTTGATCTTTTAAACTTATATTTGATCATTTATTCAAGGGGACAAATGCTGGTTGCTGCTTGCCTGCTGCTTGCCTGCTGCTTGCTTGCCTGCTGCTTGCTTGCCTGCTGCTTGCTTGCCTGCTTGCCTGCTTGCCTGCCTGCCTGCCTGCTTGCTTGCTTGCTTGCTTGCCCGTTGCTGCTGCTTGCTTGTGCTGCTGCTTGCTTGTGCTGCTGCTGCTTCTTGCCTGCTTCTTGCCTGCTTCTTGCCTGCTTCTTGCCTTCTTGCCTGCTTCTTGCCTGCTTCTTGCCTGCTGCTGCTTGCCTGCCTGCCTGCCTGCCTGCTGCTTGCTTGCCTGCTTGCTTGCCTGCTTGCTTGCTTGCCTGCTTGCTTGCCTGCTTGCTTGCTTGCTTGCCTGCTTGCTTGCCTGCTGCTTGCCTGCTGCTTGCCTGCTGCTTGCCTGCTGCTTGCTTGCCTGCTTGCCTGCTTGCCTGCCTGCCTGCCTGCCTGCTTGCTTGCTTGCTGCCCGCTGCTGCTTGCTTGCTTGCTGCTTGCTTGTGCTGCTTGTGCTGCTTGCTTGTGCTGTTGCTTGTGCTGCTGCTTGCCTGCTGCTTGCCTGCTGCTTGCCTGCTGCCTGCTGCTTGCCTGCTGCTTGCCTGCTTGCCTGCTGCTTGCCTGCCTGCTGCTTGCTTGCTTGCCTGCTTACTTGCCTGCTTGCTTGCTTGCCTGCTTGCTTGCCTGCTTGCTTGCCTGCTTGCTTGCCTGCTTGCTTGCCTGCTTGCTTGCCTGCTTGCTTGCCTGTTTGCTTGCCTGCTTGCTTGCCTGCTTCTGCTGCTGCTGCTGCTGCTTCCTCCTGCTTCCTCCTGCTGCTGCTTCCTCCTGCTGCTATTGCCGCTGCTCCAAACATTTTGCCGAAGAAGAAAATATCAGTCTCGGTCGCCTTGTTTGGCGCTGGCGGGAGGTACGGGCGGGAGACTCCAGCGGAGAGAGGGGATGTTTCTGGCTGGTTGGGAAACATTGTGGTCGCATAGCGCGGTTGTTTCGCTGCGCTCACCATCTGCACCATCTCGCAGCATGTCGCAAGACGGCGCAGACGGCAAGCTAAGACGGCAAGCTAAGACGGTGCACGCATACATCCACAGGGGGTGTCATACCCCCCCCATCCCATGGGGGGGGTGGGAACACGGGACACGGAAGCATATATATATACATATGGTATTTCCCATTACCTATGATATATCAAATAATGTACGTATATTATATCTCTTTGGTAAGGTTTATACCCCGCGTGGATCACCACAGCGTGCCATGGTGCGCTGGGATGAGATGGACAGAACGTGGCTTGTTGGCGTTGAGCAAAAACTGAATTGGGGTGTTCAATAAAAAAATGGCGACATATATCTACATATCATCGCCAGCTTGTTTGCCCTTTGGCATGGCAGATAGAATATCAGATATATCAGCACATATGTGAAATAGAATGTCAGATAGAATGCCAGATGGAATTTTTGAATATATATATATATATGCCAGATAGATTGTCAGCTGATCACCCGAAGAAAATATTACGTGTTAGTGTGCGAAACCACCAAAAATCATTCCTTTTCGTAGGGAAATGCTGGATTTGCTGGAGGCAAACAAACATTGTACGCAAAAACAATCAATCAATCAAAATTTCAACAGCTTGGATGTTGTTTAACACCGGATTTTTTCATTGCCAATTGCCATGTTGAATGACCGTAGGCGCTAACATGTTGAGGACCAACGATTTCGTGTCCTTTATTTCAACATAGCCCTGATTTTCCAGTAATCAGACGGGGGTTTTTCACCACCAATCAGCACAGTGGATGAATTCGTGTTGAGGCCCAGCAAAAAACCAACGGTTTGTTACCGTTAAACCCCACCAAACATCTGAAAGTGGACCCCACCGTTGCGGTCCACAAGACTCCACCACGAAAAAATGTGAATCACATCTGCAAGGTTTCAGGTTGTTGAAAGAGGAAATCAATTGTCTACATATGTGATTTTTCCATTGAAACAACTCCCAACCGCATAAAACAGTATAATCCAAGTTTGACATGTCTATGATTCAGTTGTGTTTTGTTTAAATTGTTGTATATCAATCCCGCCAAACAAGTGGTAAACAAAAACCAGCATATTGATCATTGATGATCATTCTCAACCATTATTAACCACTATTAACTACTATTAATATAGATTATCCCATTAATAGTGGTCTTCAAACACCTTTTCCCCATGTTTTTCTTGGTTGTCTGGACCCAGGACTGACCCTCACGACCTTCCGGGTGCGCATTTCGAGGTGGGGCAGCTTATGGGAAATCCTGGCGGCAATCCTCCCCAAAATAGCCATAGAAGCCATCACCATGCAATTTTTTTACGGTAAACCATCTATTTCTATGGGCCATCTATACCATGGCTATGTTAGTCATAACCAGAGGGTACCTTGATTATCCTTGATTTACCTTGTTGATTCTTATTTGAAATTGGTGAAGTATGATTTTCTTTCCAGATTTGATAGGAATTGGTGGATATATCATAACTGTGGATAAATCCATAGTTGGGAGATACAGGAAGGTTCCAGCAAATGGTGTTTTATCTTCAGGGATTATACACAGATGGGGGAGATAGAGGTGGTATAGAACCAAGCAAACAAACAACAGATAATCATCAACAAACATGGAGATCTTAGCCAGAAAATGTATGATCTCTGGTGGGTTATGTAACAACTGGTTTAATGGATTTATGTTTGC